CACTTTTTACTGTAAAAAATAAGGCAAAAGTAGTTTTGACTAAGGACGTTGGTCAATACCACTTTTAACTGCAAAAATATTGGATAATAGTGATTTTGACCAAATTACATCGGCTAAAAGTGGTTTCGACCTAGAACGTTAGTCAAAACTACTCTTGACTTATACTTTTTGAATTTCAGAAATTAAAAAGTTAAATTTCTTCAATATTATATTTTATTACATTATAATGTACGAGCCTTTAGGCCACCCCAGCCGCACCTTAACGTACTGTCATTAATATTGCGAGTTTTAATCGATAGTCTGAACTTTAAATGAGGCAAAATTACTTTTGACCAACGTCCTTAGTCAAAACTACTTGTGACTGCAAAAATCAGTTAAAAGTGGTATTGACCAACGTCCTTAGTCAAAACTACTTTTGCCTGATTTTTGCAGTCTAAAGTGGTTTTGACCGGTTGTGAGTTTTGACTGTGACATATATCTTTTAAGAACAAATCTTTAACCATAAGACACTAACAATTATTTTATATAAGTACAAGTTACGTAAAATCTGTAAGACGAAGTTATTGTTAAATTAGGTACAGTTGGCTGTTGGACATTGGCATCCTTTCTTTCTCCTTTCCTTCTTACTATGGGTGTGGCCAGTGTTTTTATATCAAATAAAGTAACAGAATTGCTGGGTGTGCACATAATTTATCTGATATGCAGAAAGGGTTCGTCGCGCTCCTTTCGTTCGCGTTGGCAGTCTTCACATCTCACGTCGAATTATTTTCAATTTCTCTGTCATGCAGGTTTCTAGATGATGTTGATAAAAAATTAAATATGGTAAATCAATCGGCACTTGAAATTTCATTTTATTGGAGCTGGCAGAATTCGAACTATAAGTTATGTACAGAAAGGCGAATTAAGTCTTTCTGCATTTTCGCATAATAATTTCTCTCTTTCGCCTTTATGTGGTATTGGATAAAACCTGAGATATTATATTGCCTGATAAAGTCATATAAGCTTTCTTTTATTTGCAGTTGGTGTATTGGGATGATCGGTCGCTATTTTTGGAACACGAAGTGGTGACGCTCAGTGACAACAAAGTGCGCTCTCTACTAGTATCACGTCAATATGCAATTGGGAAAGAAAGAGAACCGACGACTAACGTTCTTTTGAAAGGTTTACCTGGATCGCAGAAGAAACCCTCATGTCCGTCATATATAAAGAATTGGTTGCACAGCATGCAAATAACCAGTGATAAATTAAGAATAAATACATAATTATTATACATAGGGTTATATTATGAAATATCAAATTTTTTTTAAATAATGAGAAAATAATTAAAGGAATAGAAATTATATCTTTCTTTTAATCTGGAATATTTATAGTTAAACGATTGATTTCAAACAATTTTGTACAACCGACTTCAATATAAATTATTAAGGATAGCTCAAAAACTACTGGTCAGACCTTGATCAAATTTATATGGGACCACATGAGAAGCACCAGCTTTCAAATAAAAAGTTATGAGGTAACACACATAAAAAAAACAGTTAGATTAAGTACCTCGTCCTTTTTGAAAAAAAAAAGTAAACCTCGGTTAAAAAAGTATATGAAAACCTTAAGATGCTAACATTAGTGAAGGAAGTCTTGCAAAATTTAAATCAAAGAAACTATACAACAGTACTATTTCTTGACATGTCTAAAGCCTTCGATCGCGTCTCACATGATCAGTTACTTACCAAACTAGAGGCTAACGGAATAAGGGGACCTGCTTTAAGTAATAAAAGATATGTCACAGTGTGTAGAAATAACACAATTCTATTCTAACAAAATAACTCAGGTGTATAGATCGGAATTCAAAAATAACAATTTCGGTGTTCCCCAAGGTAGTATACGCGGACCATTGTTGTTTATATTATACATAAATGATTTACCTGACATCTCCAACTACAAAACTACTTTATTTGCAGATGAAATCTCGGTGACGATTACGACTAGTAAAAAAGTACACTTGATCGACACAAAAGGGACATAGTTGAAACAATTAATTCAGTAAATAAATGGCTTAATAAAAATAATCTACACATTCATTTAAGTAAAACAAATATCATTAATTTTAATAACTTAAATTCTGACATAAATATTGAGTATAATGGACAACTTCTGCGGAACGCAGTTAGGACGACATTTCTAGGTTTAATTATAGACTCAAATCTAAATTGGAAAGAACATATCCATAAAGTGAGTAACAAAATTAACAGATTTGTACACGCGTTACATAAATTGACGAAATTAGCAAACAAAAACACTGCGATCACAGCGTATTTCACATAATTATGTAGAATCTGTTATCAGATACGGACTTTTAACGTGGGGTAATGGCACAGACTGTTAAAAAGTATTTTTAGCTCAAAAGCGATGTATTAGAGCTATAAGTAACATCCCATCGGACACATCATGCAAGCCTTATTTTAAGAGTTTAAACATATTTCCTTTTCCCTGCCTCTATATATTTGAGGTTGGCAAATTGATAATGCAAAACAAGCACGTTTTTACAAGCTAAAGATGTTACAAAAATAAACTTACAGAACCCAGATAAACTAGTACTTGACACAATTCCAAAAAGTAAGCGCTTTCAAAAAATAGCTATGCAATGTGTCAGAATCAAAGGCTTTCTCATAGTCCACATACGCCAGACATAGTGGCAAATTGTACTCCTCTGACTTTTGTACAATTTGCCGAAGGGTATGTATGTGGTCTATGGTGCTAAAGCCTTTTCGGAAACCGGCTTGTTCGGGAGGCTGGAAGTCGTCAAGTCTGAGCGCGAGACGATTCGTAATGACTCTCGAAAACAGCACGTAGACGCGGCTCAGAAGGGAAATCGGTCTGTAGTTCTTCAAGAGAGCGTTGTCGCCTTTCTTGAAGAACGAGACCACCGCACTTCTGCTCCACGCCTCCGGTGTAATGCCACCATGGAGGACGGAATTAAAGAGCTTCTGAAGGACTTCAAGTACCGGTTTTCCACCCGCTTTCAGAAGCTCCGCTGTAATTCCATCCTCGCCTGGGGCCTTGCCATTTTTAAGGTGCTGGAGAGCCATTCTAATCTCGCTCAGACTGACCGGGATATCATCGGAATAATGTCGAATTTACTAGCAAATAAAGAATTTGTATTTGAACATAAAATTAGAATGGAATACATGCTTAATTCGAGACCCGGGTTCGATCCCCGTCGGCACCAATGAAATTGTTAACTGCAATTTTAAGTGCTGATTTACGTGCTCGGCGGTAAAGGAAAACATCGTGAGGAAACCTGCATGTCTTAGAAATAAGGACAAAATATTTCGAAGACGTGAAGTTCGCCAACACGCATTGAGGCAGCGCGGCGGACATTTCATTGCCCTAAAACCCATTCAGAAATGAGAGGAGGCCCGTGCCCAGCAATGGGACGTATATAGGCTGTAAAATTTACGTTTTTTATATGCTTAATAAAAAAAGTAAAAACTTAACAGAATATACGTAAGCTTATTAATAATTAATGTAACGGTAACTCCAAACCGAATTAGAACAATAGGATTTTCTTTTTGTCATGGAAACTTTTACATTCATGAACTGCAAACGAAGAAATACTTAAACACGGAACAATTATTTGTGGACCATACAATTACTTTTTGTATGGGGAAATCGAACGTCAAATGTTTAATCATTGCGTTGCCGAGACGTCGTAAAAAATCATTAACTTTAAGAAATTGGTGCAAACTAACCTAAAACTATTGGATGGAAAAATTTCAGGGCGATAAATTCTTATAAAAAAGAATGATATAAATGGGTGGTTCATAATAGTGAAATCTTCATAATTCAAATAAATAATGGAGAAAGGATATCAGCTCTGCACCATCAAACCTCACTAACCAATGAGCAATGAGGCAAGTAGGTATTGGACTAATGTTTCGTCTGGACTACATAAGACCACTTAACACATTCTTGCTAAGACCTATTCGTGTATAGCAACAGTGCAAATTGAAAGTCAGAGAAACAAAGGAGGACTTACAGAATCAAAAATTCAAATAAGGATTACCTTATTTGAATTTTTGATTCGTATTCGTATTGTAGTAAAACTGACCACCAAAATACATAAAATTTGTCCTTGTTTTGATGTCCTCTTCATCAATCCGTAAAAAACATTAGCCAAATATGGGTCTTTCTTGAAGCAATGAACAATTTGTCACAATCGCCACGCCTGGCAAGTGGGTTGGTGATCACAGTCACAGTACCACATGTCTCACACCTTTGACACTGCTCCCCCTCGTTGGACTGCTTATTTTATACCTGGTATTATTTATGACATGGTTGTATATTGGTTTCTGAGGTGATTATATTATGGTTATATTGGAAGCTTTATGATCTTTTTGACACTTCAACGCGTTTACCACGTGGAGAAATCCTTAGGGACCTTCAAGAAAAGAGCCTAAGTACTCCTTTTTAAAAGGCCGGCAACGCATCTGCAATTTATCTGGTGTTGCAGTTCGTGGGTCGCGGTAGTCACTTACCATCAGGTGAGCATCATGCTCATTTTCCACTTCTATAAAAATAATCCCATTATCACTCTTACGATAAGCGATAACCAAGGGACGATATGAGATTATGGGTTTTATTACGCCGCCACCCGTGTGGTGTGGTCATAATAAAAAACTATCGTAGTAAAAAAATCAATTAGTACATATTTTTAAATAAAAGAAATTTGACCCTGCATTTTGTAGTAAGTATAATGAAATTCTGATAATTAATTGTTACGATGATTTTTTTCTAATTGTTGAAGCGATTACTATGAAGTAAGTATCATATTATTGTCTTATAACGCGGTTGTTGATGACTAACTTCATGCAGTTAATAAGTTCAATGACTCGTCGGTCAAGTTTATCGTTTACGCTACCTATCACTGTAGCAGTCAGTTGAATTCTAGCTTACTTACTTGATGGGAGACTTGTGAAGTTAAATCTCACACGTATTTTCTTAAAATGTTTTGTTTAATAGCGTCAATAGTTGCATTAGCATACATATTCTGGGATGTCAACTATTTTTTAAGAGTTGCCTTTACAATTCTAATGGGCAGGTTGTGTCAAAAGAAGTGCGGAATCAATGATACAACAACAATTTATGGTAAGTGTGAGTAGATTTATTTCAGTAGGTACATTTTGTTTTGACATAGTTCGTATAATGATTTTATAAGGTTTTCGTAATTATTATTGTTATTTTAATTATGTACAATAATGATCTCAAACATTTCTAATCTAAGTTAAACATATATGTAATAAAGTTATAAAAGCAAAACTTCTTCGACCTTATTTTGGTTACTTCTAACTTACAATTCTGCTTGTATAAAGAAATAACTTTGGTACTTTGGGATTATCCCGTAGACCTCTCAACGCTCATAAACCAAATAAAAACAAAACATTCGTAAAAGTAGGAGTTATACAAAAAAAACCTTATAGGAATTAATTTATTTGTAGTTGGCTCTCTAAATAGTCCTATTTTACCATTTTCGGCATCATTATACGTTTAAGAGTTTAGTTTAAGACTTATTAATCTATGTATCGTGTCAACCTTCCTCGGTTTTTTACCCTTTAAACGGTTCCCTTCTAACGGGAAATGGTTTTTATTTAAGGTATTCAGGAAGTATCTTAAACTTACATAATTGTATGCAAAAAGCACACTGCGTAATAAGAATGGCTAGGCATAAATAACGGAACAAAATTTTCCACATATACAATACCGCACGTTCGAAATTTCATCATTAAAAGTCCACAGCTGAACATAGGCCACCATCAATTATTGTTTAATATATATATTATATCTTTATATATATATAAATAAAAATGATATATAAATATTACGTGTCACGTTGTTTGTCCGCGATGGACTCCTAAACTACTGAACCGATTTCAACGAAATTTTGCACAATGTGTGCAGTTTGGTCCAACTTGAGAGATAGGATAGTTTTTATCCCGCTAAATGACCCTCAAATTTTTTTATTGCATATTTAAGGATTTTTAGGAGGGCAGAACAACGTCTGCCTGGCGAACTAGTATATATACGTATACGTCACTATCCTAACGGTGTAGTGCCGGTGTAAAAATATCAACTACCCCATATCATCCCTTGGGTGTCGTAAGAGGTAATAGAGGGAAATAAACCTAAGATGAGCAGCATTGCTTTCTTAATGATAAGTAAAAATAAAAAAATAAAAAACTGTGGTTGCCAGTCAAAAGGGCACCTAGCCATAGTTGATATGTCTAGCAAGGCGGGCATGTCAACTATAGCAAGTATTCCTCATAAGAGGCAATCTGTAAGAGAGACCTATGTTCAGCAGTAAAATTTTGATAAGCTATAGCGGTAACGGTAACAGTTGATAGGTATTTAGTTATAAGGTTTTTTATAAATAATAATTGTTATTAGTACAGTGCTATTCATTCCTGGCTAGGTAAAAATTGGAATAACAAACTGTTTACACATCTGCCGCCACAGCTGTATAATAACAATAGTATTGTAATGTCCTCGAGACCGAATTTCGGTCGGTGCACTTTCTATTCACTCACTCTCATAGTCAAATGGAACGGTAATGCGACACACTCGGAGAGAGATCTGGCACGGGACCAAATGCTTTACTTTTGCGAGTTCGAGGCACGGAGGTGAAACACTACGACCTATGATTCGAACCCGGGACCTCATAATTACCAGTTGCGTTTACAATCACGAGACCAACGTATCAATGGATCAAGTCAAGACAATAGTCTGTCGGATATCACACGATCTTATTGCAATAGCCTTAACAAAACCTACATGAGTTTATTTTATAGAATAAGGGTGACCAGCGAGCACACAGTTCACCTGATGGTAAATGAATGCTTTAGCCCATAAACTATCCTTGATTAAGATTTAAAATTCAGACTTGTTGTCATCCATGAGAACTAAGATAGATTTTTTTATAGGATAAGGGTGACAAACGAGCACACAGTCCACCGGATGGTAAGTGGTTGCTGCCGTCCATAGACATCTACATCTATCCTCTATTACGAATCAAAATGCAGATGCGTTGTCACCCGAGAGGACTAAGATGGAATGCCTCATTTCCAGTAAAAAGGGTCTCCGGTTATTTACACTCACCATACGAAACACAGCAGCGTTAAGCTGCTATTTTACGCTTATATTCTGTGAGTCCTTCCCCGGTCCAGCCGACCCATTCGTGCCACAACTATACCACTAATATAGTTGCAGCATAGCTCTACCACGTAGAATGCCTCTTTACCACTAAAAAGAGCGAAACACAGTAGTATTATTCTGCTGTTTCACGCTTGTATTCTGTGTGAGCCTGTCCCAGGCGTGGGTCTACACCAGGTCGAGGTGATGGTAATTAATCTGCCGCAAATCAGCTATATAAATGTTTTTAATATAATACTGCTAAACATTTATAATAATTTCAGGATTTTGCACAACGCAAGATGTGGATATATTTTTGAAGCATATGAATAATGCTCGTTACGTTCGAGAGCTCGACTTTGCCAGGTTCCACTTTTATGACAGAACAGGAATCTATGCTAATATAAAAGAAGCAAAAGGACATGTACTGCAAGGCGCTTCAAGTATTCGCTATAGAAGAACCATTCCAATATTTTCAGCATATAAAATAGAAACAAAGGTTATTCCTATAGATTGAAAATTCCTTTATATTAAATCACTTTCGGTACAATTTATCTGTAAGCGAGCAACTTTCTTACCAGCACATTTACCGCATGCTGGGCTGTGAAGCATGTCTGCCGCATAAAATATTTCGAAGACATTTGAAATCCGTCAACGCGTACTGGAGCAATTCGGGAGATTACGACACATCTTCTCGTCAGACATACCTCAAAACGTCAAAAGAAGTTTGTATAACCAGTGCGTGTTGTTAGTGAAAACCTATGGATCTGAGATGTTGCCTTAACTGCGTATGAGGAAGCTCAAGGTCACTCAGCGAGTTATGGAGAGGGTCTCTCTGCGTGATAGACTTAAAAACGAGGACATCCGCAGTAGAACCAGAGTAACCGATATAGTCCTAGGGATTAATAAGTCGAAGTGGCAATGGGAATAAAGATTCTCGAGTAGCAGCCTCGTACTGGTAGGTGAAGTGTAAGGCGTCTCCCAACTAGATGGATTGACGACCTGGTAAGACATGCAGGAATTCGATGGATGCAGGTGGCTCAGGACCATGCTTTGTGGCATTCTTTGGGGAGGCCTATGTTCAGCAGTGGACTTGTGAAGAGCTGTAATCATAATGAATGTACTGGAGCAACGCAGCGGACTTATTGCTCTATAATTTTCTCAGAATGATGGTCTGAAAAGTTTCCGACCTAACAAAGATACAAGATATTTTTTCTTAAAATTTATTTTTATTTTTCTTGTAACTCTTGTAACTCTACACACTTCTCCCAGCGATGCTCTAATCACTCTAACCCGTCCAAAATAGTATTCGGCGTTTCTTTCTGCAAAATAGTTCTTCACGAAGGTGGTTCCCTCCTCATTTCACGAAAATCTCTGTCCTCCGAGTGCAATTTTTAGATGAGGGTACAAAAACAAGTCGCTTGGGGCTAGATCTGGTGAGTAAGGTGGATAGTCAAGCAGTTCAAACCGTAATTCGTGGATTTTCGCCATGGCAACCGCTGAGGTGTAAGACGGCGCGTTGTCATGGTGAAACATGATTTTCTTTTTCTGTAAATGTGGCCGTTTTACCGCAATATCTGCTTTCATTTAGTCAAGTAATGATGCGTAGTATGCTTTTGTAATGGTTTTGCCTTTTTGAAGATAATCCATTAAGTAACTTTATGACTATCCCAAAAAACAGTCGCCATCACTTTCCCAGCCGAAAAAATAGTTTATGCTTTTTTTGGAGCCGGTTCCCCCTTTGCAGTCCACTGTTTGACTGTATTTTTGTTTCGGGCGTATAATGGTGCATCCAAGTTTGATCGGCGCCAAAACTCGGATTTATTGTGCCTAATCGGTCAACAGAGCGTTGGAAATGTTCATTCAAACAACGTCTAACGTGAGCGCTGACAGCTTTCTCAAGCCTAAATCTTGATTTAATATGTGACAATCACGTTCTTTGAACATTTTCATAGCCTCCGCTATCTCTCTCACTTTAATTCGGCGGTCGTCTAGCACCATTTGGTGAACTTTTGCGATGTTATCATCAGTAGTTGCAGTTTTTGGACGTTCCGAACGTTCATCGGCACAAGCTTTCACGGCCACGTTTGAGTTCAGCTGCCCAAAATGTCACTGTGGTAAATGATGGTGGAGAGTCCCCATACACAGAGTCCAATTCATCTTTGATTTGCGTAGGCGTATTGCCTTTCAAAAACAAAAATTTTATGACAGCTCGATACCCAATTTTTTCCATTTTCATGAAAACTCTCACATTGGCTCACTCAAACGACGGTCAAATAACAACTATGCGTCCAAAATGGCTGAATTGGTGCGTAACTGTCAAAAGATGCACAACTACATTCACTAGCTTTTATTGACGAACTTTTCAGACCTCCCTAGTAGACTATAACTTAACTTATAATTTATAACAGAATATTGTAGTGACGCAAGTAGTTGCGCTAACATATAGCCATTCAAGGGTCCTTTAGTAAGTGCACTATACAATACGTTTGCAATAAGAGCGTAGGTTGGCTGGCATATCGTGTCGGTGAGAAACTAGCGGAGGAAAAAGTACAGAGTACAGAGAAACAACACTTTGTATTTTGTATTTTGCACAATGTTGGATCAGATTTGAATCCAGGACCGTCGATGTAATGATGTGGACTTCATTGTATTACAGTAACCGCTTTTTATAAAGCACTTGAGGTATCTATTAGTTTTCCTAAAATTAAAAAAAAATGAATGAGGGACTCCTAAAGTTACGTCAATTTTAATGAAAAACGATTTAATTCTTACACTAAAAATCGTAAATTGGAGACAATGTCAACTAAGAATTAATAAGATTTACTTGTTAATAAAAAACGTTCTACGACGTAATATTTGCAGTTATTTATTTAACCAATGTAACATTCCTGTTTTATATTAAACTTGTGTTTTACAAAATCACTTTGCAGCTGGTGTACTGGGACGACAAAACGCTTTTTATTGAACAAAAGTTTATTACAACAAGTGATGGATTTGTGCGAGCTATTGTATTGTCTCGACAAAACCTCTTAGATGTCGATTCAGAAAGACTCTTTAGAGATATTCCTGGAGCGGACGCCAAACCAGAATGTCCCGAAGAAATCCAACACTGGCTTCAAGCTATAGAAATTTCAAGCGCACGATTGAGGAAGAAGGATTAATGGTATTCTTAAATAAGTATTGTTTGTTAAAAATTTTGACATTATTTATCGACTGCTACTTACTGTTTTGTTTAATTTTCATTGGTAATAATTTATTTTTTATTTGGTGATATTAATAAAGCATTGGTTAACAGACTGATTTTTGGTTTTACTAAGAAAACATCGTTCCCCTAATTAAAAGGTCTGCGACGCAAATGGTAAAAAAACGGCTCCCAACCAAAGTATCGTATAACGCGTCAGTGCAGCATGCTGGCGCTTGTCACTGACGGCGTGTGTATATACTCTTACTGTTTATACAACCTGTCCATTATGAATGCGATAATGTCATAAATTAGTTGCATAAGGATTATAGTACCAAGGCCACCTACCTTTATCCGCAACTTTTTGTAGTGGTTTTAAAACTACCACTTTATTATCAGTGCCATCTATTTTAAATATTAAAAAAAGGCTTTTTAATGGAAAAAAATTATAATTCAACTTCTTTGTAACAAATAAACTAGTTTAGCGGTTTGTTGCCTCAAAATTGTAATACAAATCTAAATTGTGTAGTTAGAGCAGTTTAAATTTATCCAATTAGAAATATTTTTAGGTATTTAAAACAGACAAGGTTACAATTATTTTGAACCTAAAATTCATGATATAGCTCTTCTTTTCTTAGCACCAAAATGCTGGTTGCGTTTACTCTCCAAATCACTGCATAACGAAGCAACTATCACTAGTCCGATATTTTAAATGTACGAGTATCGTTGTCTTTATTTTTTTAGTAGAATAATGCCCACTTTCACCAACGACCCGTAAGATTTATGGGACCCCTTAGCATATTTAGCGGCCAGTTAGGGGATAGTTTCCGTTTCACCACTTTTAAAGGGTCCGTTACTGACTAAACGATCCCCTAAATTTATGAGATGGATTATTGGTCCCATAAACCTTCACATAAGTAAAAGCGACTTTTAGAGGACAAGATGGACCGTGATCTATTTGATTTTCTTGATAATTTAGACACAACTGATACTATATTTGATATAAATCGTAGTCGAAGACCTAAAATATATCGAAAACGACCAAATTATTTCAACGATTTCGATGAAATAGATTTTTTCCGAAGATATAGGTTATCTAAATCAACAGTGATATATTTGTTGGAAAAAATTGAACATATTTTGGAATTTCCTGATAATAGGTGAGTACCTAACTATTTACATATGTTATCAATTTCAATGTATGTACAATAGTCTATAATGTTATTAAAACTGTAGTTTATTAAATATTTAAGTTAAAGTGTGGGTTCCTGGGTTCCTACATTTTCACTTATTACCTATTATACCTAGCTACGAAATAAAGGTAAAAGCATAAAAGGTTACTTTATTGCTCTCCTAACAGTAACTTTTGAATAGAAAATGAGCCTGTATAGGTAGGCCGTAGGTACCTGTTTGGTGCTAACCTACCTACCATGGTAAATTGATACCCGAGGTATATCTTACTTATGTTTCTACCTATTTTAATTTGTAGTTGTTTATATTTTTTACAGGAACAATTCCATACCACCCATAAATCAATTATTAATAGCTTTAAGATATTATGCCACAGGCAATCACTTGCTTGCTGTGGCTGATATGGGTGGTACTAGTTTGGCTACATCCAGCCGGATAGTAAAGAGAGTGTCTCAAGCAATTGTTTCCCTACGTCGAGAATTCATTATATTTCCTGATACAAACAGAGACCAAGACAGAGTTAAGATAGACTTCTATGATATAGCTAGATTCCCTAATGTACTAGGCTGTATTGATTGCACACATGTAAAAATTCAGTCACCAGGTAAATTCCTCATTTTTATTTAACTACCTTTCACTAAAAGTTCATTTCTCTTAGTAGTCTATCAAGCAATGCTGATGAAGTATTATTTATATCTATAGGTGGAGATGATGCTGAACTATTTAGAAACAGGAAAGGCTACATGTCCATAAATGTCCAAACAATTGCATCAGCAAAGTTGTTGGTCCAGGATGTTGTTGCACGCTGGCCAGGCTCTACACATGACTCAGCAATTTACCAAAATAGCTATATTTATAGAAAGTTTGAAAGAGGGGAGTATGGAGACAGCCATTTACTTGGGGATAGTGGCTATCCCTTAAAGGTAAAAGAAAAAATAAGGAGAATAATAATATAATATTGATTAAAACTTAAGTAGGTTACAAAAAGAATTACAAAAATTACAAACAAAAAGAATAACATCATTCATCACAGAGCTCAAAATATTGATTAAATAAATACTTTTTATTTAATAAAAAGATTATGCATGGGTAAGGGATATTTAATTAATTAAAAAGTACACTTAAACTAGTTATTTGCAGAACCATTTTTAGGTATTCCTGATACATTTTGAAAGTTTAAGGTGTGACCTGGAATAGAAAAGAAATATTTTACATCATATAAATTACATTATTATATACAATAATACTTAAAAATATTTTTGTTTTAGCCTCATCTCTTGACACCTTATCTCAACCCTACAACAAGTGGAGAACGAAAATATAATGAGGCCCACATTAGAACACGAAATGTGGTGGAACGGCAATATGGTGTGCTAAAACGAAGGTTTCCAGTACTTGCGGTTGGAATTCGTTTAGCTTTAAACAATGCCATTAATGTCATTATAGCTTGCTGTATCTTGCATAATATATGCATATTAAGAAATGAGCAACAGCCTGTGAATAATGATGATGTGCCTAACCTGGAAGAGCTAATTGCAAGGGGACAAATAAATAATATGGCATTTTCTGACAGACCTTCTTTGTCATATGGATTTCGCAGAAATCAAATTACACAATATTTTGATAATTTATAAATATCTAATTTATTATGTAAAATATATATAGTAATTTCACCAATAAATAAAACACATACCTTTTAATTGGTTGCATACTTCAGTTTTAATTTCCAATTCCTTTCTAGCTGTTTCTAACTGCAGCTGGTACAATTCTCTTTTAAATTTTATTTCTTCTTCTAACATTTTAATTTTTAAATCTTCCACAGTAGCCTTTTTAGAATTCAAATCTTTAAAACCTCCACATAACGTTGAAACAACTTCAGCTTTATCCTTATTTTCTTTAATTATTGGTCGTCGTCTTTTCCATATAGGTGTGGACTTTATAAATTGAGACGATGTTGGTGATGACAGTGTTGGAGCAATGTCATTATTATTCCCAACATCGTTATTTTCAATATTTTCCACATTTCTTGTATTGCACTAAAATTGTAACAAAACAAATTCTAATATAAAAATCACAGTGTAAATATAATATAATCATACAGTGGGTCGACACCTATACAAATGAGTGAAATAATTTTGTATTGAAAATTCTGCCAGTTTAGTTCATTTTGTCGTTGTCGCCTCGTAGTGTTTCTCTGTCTAGCCCTCTATTGAACCACTGGTAGGAACAAAAGCATCTCCTTAAACAAACACAATAATATACATAACTTACTTTTATATAATATTATAATATGTAACAAACTTATTGCCCTGATTTCTACTACGGCATTTGGACTATTTGTCAGTCAGTTTCTAATTTTAATATACCTACATAATAGAGAATTCTATAAATACTAACATTTTCATTTTGAAATATTAAAATTTCCATTGTCTCATCACCAAGTATTGGTAATGAACTGGCTTCAGTAATTTGGTCAGCATCTGAATCCTGGACATCAGTTATGCCTGTACATGCTCGGCCCATCAAGTCACTGACTTGTTCCAAAATTATATCTGTTTTAACACACGATGGGCCACCTCCTGTGCCATTGTGACTGCTTTTGCTAAGTGCTTTGTATAACTTCGCATCAGTCTTCATTTTCTCCCAGACTCTCATAAGAGATTCTTTACTTCTGAAATGTTAGTGGTAGGTTATTAAAAGGCAATTCAGTACGTTCATCATAGTAGATAAAGAGGTTAATGTACTGAGAATACAGGTATTAGGTAGGTAACTTCTCATTCAAGTAAGTAAATAGAAACTCTTTAATACACACATTGCATATTATACAAAATCAAGATAATAATTATGACAATAACTATTTACAGCTATAAAGTTTGGATGTAAAGGCAACTTAACTTTAAAACAACTATAACAAGTACTAAACAAAAGGTTTATTTTTATCAATAACTGTTTATCAATAACTTACCTAGCCGTGGTTCCTGTGGAATTAAATCTTGTGCACAAATTCACCCACGCTTCATTCTTCGCTTGATTTGTTGTACCGTCCGTCTTTTTATTTAATATAACATTTTTAAAAGTATTCATTAACTTTACAAGTTTATCCTTTTCATCAAACGTGAAATTTTGACACCGCTTTCTCTTATTTTCGGCCATAATTATAAAATAAAAAGTTAGAAACGAGATACCAAAGGAAACACCACGAAAACTTGCAGCTGTGACTTGCAGAGACAAATGTCAAACAGTCAATGCACAGATAAAGCTGAGTGTCAAATACGGTGACTTGTCAAACATAAACTAAAAATATGATATTTTTATTAAAATATTAACAAAATGAAAACATATATCAGTCAAAATATGAAAGAACTAATTTCTTCATTAAAATAATACATGAATACGTATTTTTTGTATTAATATATATCATTTCCGATAAAACCGGTAACTACAACTGGGTATCAAGCACTATCGTCGTAAAAAATCGGTCACATAAGGAAGGGTCCCCTAGCTATAAGTCCGTTGCGTTCGTGAAAACAAATTTTAGTTATGGGTTGGTTTAGGGGACCTTTTAGCTTAGCGGTCGTCTAACTATGTGATTGTTTAGGGGATGTCGGTGAAATTGGGCATAAGGGTTACAAATGAGTACACAGCCCACCTAATGGTAAGTGGATGCTGTGGCCTTAATGCCCAATTTCACCGACATCCCCTAAACAATCACATAGTTAGACGACCGCTAAGCTAAAAGGTCCCCTAAACCAACCCATAACTAAAATTTGTTTTCACGAACGCAACGGACTTATAGCTAGGGGACCCTTCCTTATGTGACCGATTTTTTACGACGATAGTGCTTGATACCCAGTTGTAGTTACCGGTTTTATCGGAAATGATATATATTAATACAAAAAATACGTATTCATGTATTATTTTAATGAAGAAATTAGTTCTTTCATATTTTGACTGATATATGTTTTCATTTTGTTAATATTTTAATAAAAATATCATATTTTTAGTTTATGTTTGACAAGTCACCGTATTTGACACTCAGCTTTATCTGTGCATTGACTGTTTGACATTTGTCTCTGCAAGTCACAGCTGCAAGTTTTCGTGGTGTTTCCTTTGGTATCTCGTTTCTAACTTTTTATTTTATAATTATGGCCGAAAATAAGAGAAAGCGGTGTCAAAATTTCACGTTTGATGAAAAGGATAAACTTGTAAAGTTAATGAATACTTTTAAAAATGTTATATTAAATAAAAAGACGGACGGTACAACAAATCAAGCGAAGAATGAAGCGTGGGTGAATTTGTGCACAAGATTTAATTCCACAGGAACCACGGCTAGGTAAGTTATTGATAAACAGTTATTGATAAAAATAAACCTTTTGTTTAGTACTTGTTATAGTTGTTTTAAAGTTAAGTTGCCTTTACATCCAAACTTTATAGCTGTAAATAGTTATTGTCATAATTATTATCTTGATTTTGTATAATATGCAATGTGTGTATTAAAGAGTTTCTATTTACTTACTTGAATGAGAAGTTACCTACCTAATACCTGTATTCTCAGTACATTAACCTCTTTATCTACTATGATGAACGTACTGAATTGCCTTTTAATAACCTACCACTAACATTTCAGAAGTAAAGAATCTCTTATGAGAGTCTGGGAGAAAATGAAGACTGATGCGAAGTTATACAAAGCACTTAGCAAAAGCAGTCACAATGGCACAGGAGGTGGCCCATCGTGTGTTAAAACAGATATAATTTTGGAACAAGTCAGTGACTTGATGGGCCGAGCATGTACAGGCATAACTGATGTCCAGGATTCAGATGCTGACCAAATTACTGAAGCCAGTTCATTACCAATACTTGGTGATGAGACAATGGAAATTTTAATATTTCAAAATGAAAATGTTAGTATTTATAGAATTCTCTATTATGTAGGTATATTAAAATTAGAAACTGACTGACAAATAGTCCAAATGCCGTAGTAGAAATCAGGGCAATAAGTTTGTTACATATTATAATATTATATAAAAGTAAGTTATGTATATTATTGTGTTTGTTTAAGGAGATGCTTTTGTTCCTACCAGTGGTTCAATAGAGGGCTAGACAGAGAAACACTACGAGGCGACAACGACAAAATGAACTAAACTGGCAGAATTTTCAATACAAAATTATTTCACTCATTTGTATAGGTGTCGACCCACTGTATGATTATATTATATTTACACTGTGATTTTTATATTAGAATTTGTTTTGTTACAATTTTAGTGCAATACAAGAAATGTGGAAAATATTGAAAATAACGATGTTGGGAATAATAATGACATTGCTCCAACACTGTCATCACCAACATCGTCTCAATTTATAAAGTCCACACCTATATGGAAAAGACGACGACCAATAATTAAAGAAAATAAGGATAAAGCTGAAGTTGTTTCAACGTTATGTGGAGGTTTTAAAGATTTGAATTCTAAAAAGGCTACTGTGGAAGATTTAAAAATTAAAATGTTAGAAGAAGAAATAAAATTTAAAAGAGAATTGTACCAGCTGCAGTTAGAAACAGCTAGAAAGGAATTGGAAATTAAAACTGAAGTATGCAACCAATTAAAAGGTATGTGTTTTATTTATTGGTGAAATTACTATATATATTTTACATAATAAATTAGATATTTATAAATTATCAAAATATTGTGTAATTTGATTTCTGCGAAATCCATATGACAAAGAAGGTCTGTCAGAAAATGCCATATTATTTATTTGTCCCCTTGCAATTAGCTCTTCCAGGTTAGGCACATCATCATTATTCACAGGCTGTTGCTCATTTCTTAATATGCATATATTATGCAAGATACAGCAAGCTATAATGACATTAATGGCATTGTTTAAAGCTAAACGAATTCCAACCGCAAGTACTGGAAACCTTCGTTTTAGCACACCATATTGCCGTTCCACCACATTTCGTGTTCTAATGTGGGCCTCATTATATTTTCGTTCTCCACTTGTTGTAGGGTTGAGATAAGGTGTCAAGAGATGAGGCTAAAACAAAAATATTTTTAAGTATTATTGTATATAATAATGTAATTTATATGATGTAAAATATTTCTTTTCTATTCCAGGTCACACCTTAAACTTTCAAAATGTATCAGGAATACCTAAAAATGGTTCTGCAAATAACTAGTTTAAGTGTACTTTTTAATTAATTAAATATCCCTTACCCATGCATAATCTTTTTATTAAATAAAAAGTATTTATTTAATCAATATTTTGAGCTCTGTGATGAATGATGTTATTCTTTTTGTTTGTAATTTTTGTAATTCTTTTTGTAACCTACTTAAGTTTTAATCAATATTATATTATTATTCTCCTTATTTTTTCTTTTACCTTTAAGGGATAGCCACTATCCCCAAGTAAATGGCTGTCTCCATACTCCCCTCTTTCAAACTTTCTATAAATATAGCTATTTTGGTAAATTGCTGAGTCATGTGTAGAGCCTGGCCAGCGTGCAACAACATCCTGGACCAACAACTTTGCTGATGCAATTGTTTGGACATTTATGGACATGTAGCCTTTCCTGTTTCTAAATAGTTCAGCATCATCTCCACCTATAGATATAAATAATACTTCATCAGCATTGCTTGATAGACTACTAAGAGAAATGAACTTTTAGTGAAAGGTAGTTAAATAAAAATGAGGAATTTACCTGGTGACTGAATTTTTACATGTGTGCAATCAATACAGCCTAGTACATTAGGGAATCTAGCTATATCATAGAAGTCTATCTTAACTCTGTCTTGGTCTCTGTTTGTATCAGGAAATATAATGAATTCTCGACGTAGGGAAACAATTGCTTGAGACACTCTCTTTACTATCCGGCTGGATGTAGCCAAACTAGTACCACCCATATCAGCCACAGCAAGCAAGTGATTGCCTGTGGCATAATATCTTAAAGCTATTAATAATTGATTTATGGGTGGTATGGAATTGTTCCTGTAAAAAATATAAACAACTACAAATTAAAATAGGTAGAAACATAAGTAAGATATACCTCGGGTATCAATTTACCATGGTAGGTAGGTTAGCACCAAACAGGTACCTACGGCCTACCTATACAGGCTCATTTTCTATTCAAAAGTTACTGTTAGGAGAGCAATAAAGTAACCTTTTATGCTTTTACCTTTATTTCGTAGCTAGGTATAATAGGTAATAAGTGAAAATGTAGGAACCCAGGAACCCACACTTTAACTTAAATATTTAATAAACTACAGTTTTAATAACATTATAGACTATTGTACATACATTGAAATTGATAACATATGTAAATAGTTAGGTACTCACCTATTATCAGGAAATTCCAAAATATGTTCAATTTTTTCCAACAAATATATCACTGTTGATTTAGATAACCTATATCTTCGGAAAAAATCTATTTCATCGAAATCGTTGAAATAATTTGGTCGTTTTCGATATATTTTAGGTCTTCGACTACGATTTATATCAAATATAGTATCAGTTGTGTCTAAATTATCAAGAAAATCAAATAGATCACGGTCCATCTTGTCCTCTAAAAGTCGCTTTTACTTATGTGAAGGTTTATGGGACCAATAATCCATCTCATAAATTTAGGGGATCGTTTAGTCAGTAACGGACCCTTTAAAAGTGGTGAAACGGAAACTATCCCCTAACTGGCCGCTAAATATGCTAAGGGGTCCCATAAATCTTACGGGTCGTTGGTGAAAGTGGGCATTAGACATCTACATTTATCCTGGATTAAGAATCAAAATGCAGATGCGTTCTCACTCCTGAGGAATAAGATGGAGTGCCTCGTTTCCAGTAAAAAGGGTCTCCGGTTCTCTACACTCACCATACGAAACACAGCAGTGTTAAGCTGCTATTTTACGCTGGTATTCTGTGAGAGCGCGGTCCTTCCCCGGTCGAGCCGACCCATTTGTGAGTACTAATATAGCTGCAGCATGTCTCTACCACGTACTAAGTGTTGTTTTTTTTTACAAAATTGACTTAAAAAATTATTTCTTAACGGAAAATTGTTGATTATTACTTTAAAATAAATAAATATATTGCTACATGACTATTAATTACTGTTTTTCATTAACATGCATTACCTATCTATATATGTATAAAAACATACCAGATTTCAGTATAAAATAAAAAAAAATAACTTGTCTAAATAAGTTTCGGTTCCGGTTTCGGCCGAAACTGACACCCAGACCGAAGGTTCGTTTTCGGTTTCGGCTCGTTTGTCACCCTATCCTATATAAAAAAAAATTACACCCATAAAAAGTTACTTGCTAATTGAGAACATATTTTATTGTGTTCACAATATTATACCTCTTAAAAATAGTGTCCATTTACTAGTGTCGCTGCATTCGATGGAACCACTGAGAAAAGCACTTTCCCTACTCGTCCTTAGGGGTCTCTTCAATGGCATTTTGAAACGCAACCACTGCTTCCTCGGCGTCCATAAAACGTTTTCCTCGAAGTTTTTCTTTTATTTTCGGAAATAAATAAAAATCGCAAGCTGCGAGGTCGGGGCTATAGAGCGGGTGACCCAGTAATTCTACGTCTGACGTCGCCAAGTAGTCGATTGTTTGCTTGGCGGTGTGCGACGAGGCGTTGTCGTGGTGAAGAAGGATACTACTGCAAGGTCGTTTCTCCCGAACTTTTTCCAAGACAAGTGGCAAACAACTGTTAGGCTGAGATCTATAGATCGTACTTTGACTTTGCTCAGACTTAGCTTACGAAAAACTTAGCTGAGTATATACTTAGCATAATCTTTGATTCTGAATTTATGGTTGTATCGGGCTAAGATTAGCTTATGCTAAGGCCCAGACAGTCCAGATATTAGTGGATAATTACCGTATAAAATTAAATATATATATATTTAAAATCGAAGACAGTACAAATTGTATTTCATAAATAAGTTATTATTAAATGAAATAGAAAATGGGCGTATGAGAACGGGAACGACTGAGATGAGTGTAAAATCAAAAAAACAAAAGAAAAAAAATAAGATTTTAAGAAATTTTTTGTACGTGGTAGAGCCATGCTGCATCTATATTATGGTTGTAGCACGAATGGGTCGGCTCGACCGGGGAAGGACCACGCTCTCACAGAATACCAGCGTAAAATAGCAGCTTAACGCTGCTGTGTTTCGTATGGTGAGTGTAGAGAACCGGAGACCCTTTTTACTGGAAACGAGGCATTCCATCTTAGTCCTCACGGGTGACAACGCATCTGCATTTTGACTCTTAATCGAAGATAGATGTAGATGTCTATGGGCCACAGCGACCACTTACCATCAGGTGGACTGTGTGCTCTTTTGTCACCCTTATCCTATAAAAAAAAAATTCGAAATAAGATTGAAATTACGTAAATAGACGACTAAAACGACCTATTTATTGTTATAATTAATTACAGTAACATAAAAACAACAATTTAAAATTAATACGGTGGTTTTGAATAATATCCTGAGTTTTACGTAAGTCGTCGAAATCGTTGACCTAGGCTGAGCGCGCACTCGGCACGACTTTGAAGTTAGCTCTATAAATACCAACATTGTCTTAGCTCGAAAGTAAAGTCTGAGCAAAGTCAAAGTACGGTTTATAGATCTCAGCCTTAGTGTACCACTCTACAGTAAATGTTTCGATCCTCTAAAACAATTGTTGCCAAATGACCTGTCCTTCCGAAGAACGAGGCCACCATCTTTTTTTCGACGCTTCGACCTCTCTTCACTTTAGTTTGTAACTCCTCAGACGGAAACACCCAGACAGCAGACTGTCTCTTAGTTTCAGGATCATAACAATAAATTCAGCTTTCGTCACCCGTAAGTATGTCGAACACAGCATTTGAGTCAGCTCCGTTAAATCTTCGAACCATTTCACCGGGCACAAAGCTTCCCGACCGCTAAATGTTCATGGAGGATTTTGTACATTTGATTCATACCAATGTCTAAGCTTGTCCGAATCTGCTGATAAATCACTCTTTTGGCAGTCTCTATCTTACGCCGCACAACACTGTTGTTATCTTCAGTCGTCGCCGTAGAAAGCCGTCCCTCATGCTGATCATCGGTGAGATTAGTGCGACCACGTTTAAACTCATTAAACCAGTTGTAAACAGTGGCACGAGATGGGGCTTCATCGCGAAAGGCCAATTGAAGTCTATCATAAATTTCTTGTTGATTTTCTCACGTTAAATTCATGCTGACGTGACACAGACAATTTTCAATTTGCCGCCAGATCGTAAACAAATGACAAATTATTAATAAAATACATACACAATAATATTGGCAAAGACTTCCATTTTCAAAATTCGAACTTATTTTTTTATTATATCGTTTACAAGTGGCCAGTTCTAGGGACCTCGCTGATGCAACTTCGCCCAACGTTTATAATAGTTTGTAGTATAGTCCACACTACGCCTCTGATTGTATAGTGCCACCAACTTATCTGTTCAGTTGACAGCGTCGCTAGTGGAGTACTTACTATTGCCATTTAACAAATTTACCGAGGAAATATGTAACTACATATTAATTACACATAATATAAAATAAAACAAATTTCGTGTTAATATATTAAAATTAATGAGAATTAGTGTTATTATATATATTATTTATATTTTATAAAAATAATTGTGGTCGTGATCTCCGAGTTCAAGCGGCCGAATTCTAGGAATTTCTGTTTTGAAAAATGTACCCGCGTTAGCTACTGGTTCCAATAATTCATCTCCTGAGTCACTGGAATCGCTTTCACTATCGCTCTGACGCTCTATAATAAAGGGTTCATTTAAATACACGTCTTTTAGTCTTTCTTCATTTTCAATTTTTTTTACATGATTACAAATGTTTTTCCACTGACCCGGTGTAATTTCATGAAATGAATCTTCAATTAATTGGGGCATTAGTACATTCGCAACACAAACTACAAAGTTAGGTACTTTAGATGAATTGCAGTAAATTGAGATAATTTTTTTACTGTTTCACAAGTACATTATTTGGTGATTTTAATTTTCCATATCTGGCAATACTAACCTGTCACGGCAGCAACGCTTTCATACAGGTTTTCAAATGGTATAGTTGGGACTTGTACACGTTTGTCTTCTTTCATAAAAGATAAAACTTTTAGGATAATCTATTGCGCATCACTTTTAAGATTTAGTTACACTTTTTAAAAACACTCACCTGATAGCTCGGAATAAATAATAGCTGACAGCGAAATGTCATTTACAAAATGGCGGTTTTAGTTCCAATTTTGTCCACCTGAACAGATAAGTTGGTGGCACTATAGGCTGTTATTTAAAAAAAAGTCCCGCTGGGTTTTTTGCTGGTTCTTCCAAGGACAGACTTTTTTTCGAACCAGTGGTAAAATTAAACAAAAGAGTGACTTTCAATAAGTATTATTTACAATCTATATTGAATAAAAAAGTTTCTGTTTCTGGTTCTGTATAATTATGAATAATACACGAGTCACATGAACTCTAGATTTTTTTGCCGAAACTTGACGAAACCGAAACCGAAACCGAATCTTCGGTCGGACACTACTTTTTCATGTTAGCATTTAGGATGTACTTATTTTAGAATAATGAAGACAGTGTACGAGACGTGAGTAATAAGTATAGGTTCATAAATAAATAAATAGAATATAGTTAAATATTTTTTTATGTTAATAACAGACATAAATATTATTATTACACATATACTTTATAAGTCACCACACTTTCATTTTAGTTTATACCTTTTTTTAATTATATACTTATTATATACATATACGAGCTGTTCACCGCGACTTCGCCCGCGTGGAATTTATTACGGTTGGATTTTATGGATTTTAATTTTTTTGCGCGGAACCCTGATTATTTTTCTCAAACAAAAGTGTCCTAAGTTACTCCTTCTAACATTAGCTATCTTTTAGTGAAAGTCCCGTCAAAATCGGTCTATCCGAATCAGACAGATAGATTTAAAAAAAAAATTGTATTCTTTGCATTTAGTAAAAAGCTGTAATTTTGACGTTAGATCAATATATATGTATATATATATATATATATATATATATATATATATATATATATATATATATATATATATATATATATATATTAACTACTTAAATGTCTAAATTATTACATTAAATAAAATCGTTGAGATGATAATATATATATATATATATATATATATATATATATATATATATATATTAACTACTTAAATGTCTAAATTATTACATTAAATAAAATCGTTGAGATGATAATAAATAACCAGTAGTGGCGGTCAATCTCTCGTAAAAATCCCTCGCAGATTAACGATTTACCCGTATTGAATGTGAAATATTCTTGCATGGCTTAGATAAATAATTAGAATGTCGTAAAGGGTCACCCTTTATGGTAAATTTAAGAAAAATCTAATGGCTATGGCGGTATGACATCTTCATTTACGCATCGATCATTAATAAAAAACTTGATACATAATCCCAAGCAAAAGTTCTATGAAAACTGTCGCCAATTGTTTTGAGGTAATTCTAGTTAAAATAAATATACATTAATGTAAATTCAACCTTAAATGCATTGTCTAAAGTTGTATTCACAAAGTTGCATAAAAATTAAAAGCGCACCCAAATGTTCGAGTGGGCGCTCATTTGTTAAGGACATTTGTTGTCACTGATTGTGTATCTAGTTTTTTATTAGTGATAGATGCATTTACGTAAAATACTAAGACCGCCGAAAAGCAGTAGCGTCAAAGCAACTCCTGGAGGATAAATAGAGGTAAGGAGGATTATCTCATATGATAGAAGATGAAAAAGTGTCCAGCTGTAAACAGTAAAAACAGTTTCCTGTTTACAGCTGGATATTTGTTCAATACAAGAGAACTTCAATACACTGAACAATTCATGCCATACCCATTCTGGACCTTCCAGAATGAGTATGGCATGAATGTAGCAGTTGTAGATGGATTGAAGTGTGCCGAATTATAAAATTTAATATTTTTGATGCTAGAGTACTTAGTTACAGTACCTACAGTATACAAAACTTCAACTATTCACGTACCTAGTCCAAAAATAATTTTTAAATATAACCTAAAATAACTGCTGTGAGAAAACGTGGAGAGTGATTTTATTTTTGTGAACTTCAAATAGGTTTACGTTTAGTAATTTTTTAAAAAGTAAATTACTTTTACTTTTTCTGTTTTTAAGATTTTACACAGCCTTAACGCATTTCGACGGACACTTTTTCATGCACAGACATAGTCCTCCTTACCTCTACCCTCCATATATATAATTAAGGCGAATTCTTTCTACAACGGTACAGACTCACGTTTAGCGGTAGAGTTTAAAGGGCTGGTAAAGAAGAGAAGAAAAAGAGTGGAAAAGTATTATATAGCCATCTAAATAATGCTTAGTGATTCTTATTTGGAAATATCATATATTTAATTATGGCTATGCTCGGGTTTTCTCTGCGTGATAAACTTAGAAATGAAGATATCCGCAGTAGAACCAGAGTAACCGACATAGCCCAACGGATTAGTAAGCTAAAGTGGCAGTGGGCCGGCCATATAGCTCGAAGAACCGACAAGCGATGGGGAAGAAAGGTTCTTGAGTGGCAGCCTCGTACCGGTAGGCGAAGTGTAGGGCGACCCCCCACGAGATCGAGTGACGACCTGGTAAGACATGCAGGAAGTCGATGGATGCAGGTGGCTCACGACCTTGCTTCGTGACATTCCTTGGGGGGGGCCTATGTTCAGCAGTGGACTTGTGAAAGGCTGTAATGATGATGATGATGATGATATATATATAATTAATTCTTCTACACTAAGAGGGATTTTAAGGCAAGGAGGAAACCTTCTTCCGGCCAGAATTCGTGTTTGCAGATTTCGCATGTTCTTAAAATCTTTTTAAAAATTTGAAGCATGCAGTTTTTCTCATGCATTTTTTATACAGCCGAGCAAGTGGTAAATCAACACTTAAGTTTCAATTTGCTAGAGAAGATCAACTCGTTTTGCTCGTATTCTAAAAAAAATTTAGGCGGGCGCTGGGGTGAGGGTTCTGAACTTTTACGCCTCTTTTCAAATTATGATATAATTACGGAAAACCATAAAAAATCTTGTGGTTTCCGATTGATGACAGTGTATACATCTCGTATTTAAAACATACATACGACGACTTCCTGTCGCCAGTCTGAGGAAGAGTGTTGAAAAAATAAGAATAAAGCATGTTTACATAGGTAGAAAGGTAAAACAAGAGAAAAAGAAATAGATATTTTATTTGGCCATGCGCGCAGACAGGTTGATTTATTATATTAGAACAAAATTGCAATTAAAAGCTTTTTCCAGTGTCTAGTATGTTTGTGGCTCTGCCTCCATCTGCGACAAATCCTTCAAGGACTTCATGTCAATGTACGCATACATAGAGATTAAAAAGGTACAATAAACGTATTTTACATTTTGTGCATAGTAGGTGCTCACCTCTATGTACGTTGCAGATGACTGCATCGTGAATGAGTCGGTTTGACCAATCTCAAAATAGTTCAGCTGTGTTTCAAATGGTTATCGACGGAAACCGGAGATCCTTTTTACTGGTAACGAGGCATTCAAAAAAAATACTAGGTGTTAACCCAGCTTAGCTTAAGTTTGTTATTTCTTCTGACAGCTCTACCTATAAATATCATTAAAATTGAAGTGTTTACCTGTAATATCGAAATAACTGCCTGTTATTGAGCTGAGGGGGTTATTTGCATGCCATTAAGATTGGACATTAAAAAAAACGAAAAATTGTTAAATCAAATGGTTTTAATTATCTGAAATCTAAACAATATATTATATTATTAATAGATTAAATTCAGGCGAAGCCGGGGCAGATCACTAGTATATTGCTGACTGAAAGGGTCCAACAGACAAGGGATAGTCACACCACGTTGGGTTCGGGAACAACGAGGTGGACGTAACCCCCGTGAAGGAGTGTGACACAAGAACGTCTGTTGGCCTTTCTGAAAACAAATGTTAGACGACTAAGATTACGGGTCCCTCTGAATTTAATAATCGCTTGATGTAACTTGCATCATTTTTATATTGTCTATAAACATATTGAATTATTAATACAATCAAGGATGTGATAATCTATACATCTACACCAAAGACATTTAAGTAGTTAATATATATGTATATATATATATATATATATATATATATATATATATATATATATATATATATATATATTGATAATTATAAGATGTAACTTGCATCATTTTTATATTGTCTATAAACATATTGAATTATTAATACAATCAAGGATGTGATAATCTATACATCTACACCAAAGACATTTAAGTAGTTAATATATATGTATATATATATATATATATATATTGATAATTATAAGATGTAACTTGCATCATTTTTATATTGTCTATAAACATATTGAATTATTAATACAATCAAGGATGTGATAATCTATACATCTACACCAAAGACATTTAAGTAGTTAATATATATGTATATATATATATATATATATTGATAATTATAAGATGTAACTTGCATCATTTTTATATTGTCTATAAACATATTGAATTATTAATACAATCAAGGATGTGATAATCTATACATCTACACCAAAGACATTTAAGTAGTTAATATATATGTATATATATATATATATATATTGATAATTATAAGATGTAACTTGCATCATTTTTATATTGTCTATAAACATATTGAATTATTAATACAATCAAGGATGTGATAATCTATACATCTATCACCAAAGACATTTAAGTAGTTAATATATATGTATATATATATATATATATATATATATATATATATATATATATTGATAATTATAAGATGTAACTTGCATCATTTTTATATTGTCTATAAACATATTGAATTATTAATACAATCAAGGATGTGATAATCTATACATCTACACCAAAGACATTTAAGTAGTTAATATATATGTATATATATATATATATATATATATATTGATAATTATAAGATGTAACTTGCATCATTTTTATATTGTCTATAAACATATTGAATTATTAATACAATCAAGGATGTGATAATCTATACATCTACACCAAAGACATTTAAGTAGTTAATATATATGTATATATATATATATATATATATATATATATATATATATATATATATATATATATTGATAATTATAAGATGTAACTTGCATCATTTTTATATTGTCTATAAACATATTGAATTATTAATACAATCAAGGATGTGATAATCTATACATCTACACCAAAGACATTTAAGTAGTTAATATATATGTATATATATATATATATATATTGATAATTATAAGATGTAACTTGCATCATTTTTATATTGTCTATAAACATATTGAATTATTAATACAATCAAGGATGTGATAATCTATACATCTATCACCAAAGACATTTAAGTAGTTAATATATATGTATATATATATATATATATATTGATAATTATAAGATGTATAGATTATCACATCCTTGATTCTATTAATAATTCAATATGTTTATAGACAATATAAAAATGATGCAAGTTACATCAAGCGATTATTAAATAATATTATAATAATTAATTAATAATTCTTATTAAATTTTCAGTATCGTCATAGCTTAGGTTCAACAACGAGGAGGCAACCTTATTTCTGCATTCGTACGATGATAAAGAATATACATTAATTTTACCGTTACATAAGTCGAATATTTTCTTTGATATCGTCATTGAGAACGTTTAACGAGGTTACGCTTAAAGTTAAGCATAGCAACTACCAAAAATACGAGAATAGAATATGAAAGTAGAATTATAAACCTTTGGTTTTTGTTTAAATTTTCATGGGGAAATGCCTACGTATAGGTACCAGCCTCTCGAGGGCAATGATTGGTAATGTCGATCTCAACTGCAAAACCGAAACTAAAACCTCATGGTGTTCGATCTTCGTCACATATCAGCTGGGCACCGGCCACCCTAAGATGGATTGTGTCTATGGCTACGCCGTAGACCACGTTTCGACCGCTAATAATACAGTGTTGTTCAGGTAACGAGGTATTTCATTTTAGTTATCAGGGGTGATAGATAAGGTAATCTGCATTTTGATTGAATAACTGCTGTTCACGAAATAGCATACAATGCAGCATACATCGATGCTGATCCATTATAGTTCTTTTATTTGATACAGAATTTATGCTCATGTAAAATCGCCAGCTTAGATTATATTAAATAATCTAGGATCGCTAGGGGCTGATGTTAACAGTACCTTTTTTTTATTTAATGATACATAAAACATATTACAATAGTGCATAGTTACTATACAGCACCATTAAACCGCAAAACGGTTTGTATTGGTGCTTGCGGACGTCTATACGCATAAATATATTATTTTTAATAACTACCATCGTAAAATTGATAAAGTTAAGCATGATAACAACTAACAACCTATTCATTGTATTAGTGACATGACGACAAACAGGTTTCGCTAGTTTACCGCGATGAGCGTGTACGGTATACCATACATATACAGGCTGATTTCTATAGCAATTTTTTTTTAAATAATTATTTAATAAAATAATTTTATATACACCTATATATACACACACATACACACACACACATATATATATATATATATATACATATACACATATATATACATATAGATTTAATATCATTTGAGAATTTATTAAGGAAGACAATTCAGGTTTTCTAATAAATTATGCTTAATTTTATATTTTAAGTTTTTTTCTGTCAATTCGTCCTTAAGGTTTTCTGGAAGATCGTTTAGAATAGAAGCTAATATATTAACAGTTCTGTCTCCATAAAAGTTATTTGATTTTATTTTTGCTACAGATTTTTTATTACTTTGTCGCGTTCTATCAGAAAATTTTACCATTTTTAATGAAGGAATCGTATTAAAATCTTCAATCATGATATGACATTCAAGTTTTTTATTTATAGGTATGACGTTACAGTATTTAAAAAGACCAATATAGTTATTTTCTTTATATTTTTGTTTTACCTTGTCATCTACAATGAGCCTTAAGAATTTTAGTTGTAAATTAAAGATCCTTCTTATGTATGTTTTGAATGTACGACCATAACTTGTTATTCCATATGATATTATCGAATCTACTAGCGCATGGTACATTGATAGTATTACTGAATATGGTACTTTATTCTTTATAATATAGAATATTGCAAGCAATGACTTTAGCTTATTACAAATCATATCAATATGAGGACCCCAGTTAAATCTGTTGTCTATGATTAAGCCTAGGTATTTTTGATTTGTAACTTGTTCTATAGGTGGACATATGCATTTTTGAATAAGGCCATGCATACATTCATGTGTATGCACAGTTATTGATATTGAACTATATACTGTGTTATGACTCGACCTAATATGTATGACTTTAGTTTTTTCTGCGTTAATAACTAGTCCCATGTCATGAGACCATTGATTTAAGAGCGTTATATCGTCTTGAAGTGTTTTTTGAGCGGCGGTGATGTCACGATCTGCTGATACGAGACAAGTATCGTCCGCAAATTGATATAGATTACACTTTCATCATCATCATTCATCATCATTACAGCCTTTCATAAGTCCACTGCTGAACATAGGCCTCCCCCAAGGAATGCCACAAAGCACGGTCCTGAGCCACCTGCATCCATCGACTTCCTGCATGCCTTACCAGGTCGTCACTCCATCTCGTGGGGGGTCGCCCTACACTTCGCCTACCGGTACGAGGCTGCCACTCGAGAACCTTTCTTCCCCATCGGTTGTCGGTTCTTCGAGCTATATGGCCGGCCCACTGCCACTTCAGCTTACTAATCCGTTGGGCTATGTCGGTTACTCTAGTTCTACTGCGGATATCCTCATTTCTAAGTTTATCACGCAGAGAAACTCCGAGCATAGCCCTCTCCATAGCTCGCTGAGCGACCTTGAGCTTCCTCATACGGCCAGCTGTGAATGACCACGTCTCAGTTCCGTAAGTCATCACTGGCAACACGCACTGGTTGTACAATTTCGTTTTAAGGTTTTGAGGTATGTCTGACGAGAAGATGTGTCGTAGTTTCCCGAACGCTGCCCAGCCGAGTTGAATCCGTCGATTGACCTCTCGGTCGAAGTTGGACTTACCTAATCGGACTATTTGTCCCAGGTAAACATACTCGTCAACAACTTCGAGCTTAGTGCTCCCAACAACTACTGGCATAGGTGTGACATGGACATTAAACATAATCTTTGTTTTGTACATGTTCATCTTAAGACCTATCCGTTGGGAGACACTATTGAGGTCATTGAGCATAGTGCTTAGGTCCTTAGGTCTTACACCTCTCTGCAATTGGATAGGTTTCGTACTCTGGTTCTGTACTCGGATAGCCATCGTAGCTCTACTGTACAAACACTTCAACACTTCGATATACCGACAGTCAACTTGGCACCGCTGAATCGGACTGCAGCACCGCCCAAATTTCGACGGAATCAAAGGCTTTCTCATAGTCCACATACGCCAGACATAGTGGCAAATTGTACTCTTCGGACTTCTGTACAATTTGCCGAAGGGTATGTATGTGGTCTATGGTGCTAAAGCCCTTTCGGAAACCGGCTTGTTCGGGAGGCTGGAAGTCGTCAAGTCTGCGCGCGAGACGATTCGTAATGACTCTCGAAAACAGCACGTAGACACGGCTCAGAAGGGAAATCGGTCTGTAGTTCTTCAAGAGAGCGTTGTCACCTTTCTTCAAGAACAAGACCACCGCACTTCTGCTCCACGCCTCCGGTGTAATGCCACCATGGAGGACGGAATTAAAGAGCTTCTGAAGGACTTCAAGTACCTGTCTTCCACCCGCTTTCAGAAGCTCCGCTGTAATTCCATCCTCGCCTGGGGCCTTACCGTTTTTAAGGTGCTGGAGAGCCATTCTAATCTCGCTCAGACTGACGTCCGGGATATCTTCGGAATAGTGTCGGATGAGACTCGCTTTTGGATCGTTACTCACACTTGCGTGTGGCTCCAACGATGACGTGTACAGCTGCCCATAGAACCTCTCAATCTCACTCAAAATCTCAGGTGTCCCGGAAACGATGCTGCCACATTCTGTCTTCAGCTTTGACAGTTGGCTCTTTCTGGCAGACAGATCTCTGGCAAAGACTTTGGAGCCTTGGTTCCGCTCGATCGCTTTTTCAATACGAGCTGTATTGAAGTTGCGTAAGTCCCGCCGCATGCATTTGGAGATCTGTCTGTTCAGATGCCTGTATGCTGTCAAGTCTGTTGAAGAATGTAGCTTCATCTCCCGTCTAACAGCCATGAGATTAAGAGTGTTATCGGAGAGTTTTTGTGTTCTTCTGCGGCGGGTCTTGCAGAACTTAGCTCCGACCGCATGGACAGTTTCCACGAGCTTGTCATTCATATCGTCCACTTCATTGCAGTCTTCTAGGCACTGAAAACGGTTTTGTAACTCGAGCTGAAAGGTTTCGGGACTTTGGAACAGAGCACGAGGGGGACGGAGCGTTGACTTCATTAGACGAGACCTCTCCAACTTAACGTTTAGGTTCAGTGTGCCTCTAACCATTCGGTGATCGCTACCAGTTTTCACCCTCGCGATCACGGAGACATCACTGAACAGTTGTCGTCTGGTCGTCATAATGAAGTCAATCTCATTTTTTGTCGAACCGTCGAGGCTCGACCAGGTCCACTTCCTGTGGGGCCGCTTCTGGAAGAAAGAGTTCATCATAAAGAGTCCCTCTTTCTCCATGAAGTCCGCCAGCTGCTGGCCCCTTGGGTTCCGTTGCCCTATTCCAAATTTCCCTACTTTCAGCTCACCGTTCTCTCTTGTGCCTAGTTTTGCATTGAAGTCTCCCATTAACACCGTATATTGGGTTTTGGAGGAATGCATGGCTTTAGAGATATCCTCATACATTTCCTCCACCTCCTCATCGGGGTGTGCCGAGGTTGGTGCGTAAACCTGTATGACCTTCAGCGAATACCGTTTGGTGATTCTGAGTATAAGGTACGCAACCCTCGTCGACACACTCCCGATCTTTACAACGTTGTTAACGAGAGACTTGTGGACGATAAATCCGACACCTCCTTGGGACAGATGGTCGCCCTCCCGGTGATAGAGCAAGTTGCCGGATTCGAGGATTACCGTGTCCTCCCCCTCTCTTCGGAATTCGGATAATCTTATAATATGCCAGCGCAACTTGTCTATCTCTTCTTCCAGCTCCATGATCTTCTCGTCAGTCCTCAGGGTGCGTGCGTTGTACGTTGCCAGGTCGAGTCGTCTAAGGTGGCAACCGAACCTCCACCGAAGATTCTTAGCACCCCCTGCCCCGCCGTTACCATGGTCGCCACCGTAGCCAGGAATAGCGGGGCCGCCGGGGACTGGGGGCCGTTTCTTTGTTACATTCATTCATAGGGGGGTATTTGCCATAGTTGCCACGCTTGGCGAGCGGGTTGGCAACCGCAGTTTTTTTATTGTAATTTTGGCTATTATCAGGAAGATGCTGCTGCCCATCTCCTGCCTGTTTCCCTTTGTCGCCTTTTACGACACCCACGGGAGAATATGGGGTAGTGGATATTCTTGACCGCCACTACATGGCAGATTACACTTTGTTATAAGGTAATTAAGGTCATTTACATAAGCAAGGTAATGCAAGGGACCCAATACTGATCCCTGTGCTGTTCCTTCTGTAATGTTTATTTTACCACTAAGTGTATTATCCACCCTAACAACATATTGTCGGTTACAGAGGTAGTTTTTACTCCAGTCTAATAAAGGTCCTCTGATACCTGTGTCTTGAAGCTTTTCAATTAGAGTTTCATGTCGTAAAGTATCGAAAGTCTTACTGTAGTCAATAAAGGCGACTAATACGTGTCTTTTCTCATAACCTACGCGTATGGTGCGCTGTACTAAGGCTGTGATCTATAAACCGTACTTTGACTTTGCTCAGACTTTACTTTCGAGTTAAGACAATGTCGGTATTTATAGAGCTAACTTCGAAGTCGTGCCGAGTGCGCGCTTAGCAAAGCCTAAGTCAACGATATCGACGACTTACGTAAAACTCAGGATATTATTCAAAACCACCTTATTAATTTTAAATTGTTGTTTTTATGTTACTCTAATTAACTAAAACAATAAATAGGTAGTTTTAGGCCGTCTTCTAGTTTTAAATAACATTAATCCATTTTCTATTTACGTAATTTCAATTTTATTTCGAGTTTCTTAAAATCTTATTTTTTTTCTTTTTTTCTCACTTTGCACTCATCTTATCTGTTCTCGTTGTCATAGGATCGTTTTCTATTTCATTTAATAATAAATAATTTATGAAATACAATTTGGACTTTTTTCGATTCTAAATATATATATATTTTAATTTTATACAGTAATTTTGATTTTAAATATATATATTTTTTTATTTTATACAGTAAAGTGAAAAACATAATGCGTGGAATGAAGCATCCATTAATATTTGGACTGTCTTGGTCTTAGCATAAGCTTAGCTTAATCTTAGCCCGATACAACTATAAATTCAGAATCAAAGATTATGCTTAGCATATACTCAGCTAAATCTGAGCAAAGTCAAAGTAGATCTCACGATTAGACACGCAGGAAAGTAAATTATTAGTTTTAACCTTTCTAGATAAATCCATGCTTTAGATATTCTCTCGAGTGATTAATACTTTTTATTTAAAGTAAAGAGTCAATTCGAACGATGTAATGTATGTCACAATAATAAGACTTTTTGTATGATTCTTATAAATAAAATTGTGTAACCATATGTTTTATAGAAATAAAGATATGGGGTAAAATACAAGAGTGCAATGATGAAAATCAATGTTAAGATATGTCAAAATGGCGCGCGGTGCATGGTTCTCTTTCACGCAAGCTCGTGACTAGGATAGTAAACTGGTAATTTGGCAATTCGTCCGGGACCAGCTACCAGTTTTATAGTTTAAAGCAAGAAAGAAGAAGGCAATAGGGAAGTGATAAGAAAGTAGTAAAAGTTTCAACGTTGCACTCTTATAGGAAAATTACGAAGATAAAATTACTGTTTCATTTCCTACTGCACCTTCCAAATTAGAACAATATACAGTCCACAATGTGACGTCAAGACCGGGACAAATCCAGAGGGACCCGTAATCTTAGTCGTCTAATATTTGTTTTCAGAAAGGCCAACAGACGTTCTTGTGTCACACTCCTTCACGGGGGTTACGTCCACCTCGTTGTTCCCGAACCCAACGTGGTGTGATTTTAGTTTCGGGGTAGACCGTCTATGACTGACTATCCCTTGTCTGTTGGACCCTTTCAGTCAGCAATATACTAGCGATCTGCCCCGGCTTCGCCTGGATTTAATCTATTAATAATATAATATATTGTTTAGATTTCAGATAATTAAAACCATTTAATTTAAAAATTTTACGTTTTTTTTAATGTCCAATCTTAATGGCATGCAAATAACCCCCTCAGCTCAATAACAGTCAGTTATTTGGTTATTACAGATAAACGCTTCAATTTTAATTATATTTATAGGTAGAGCTGTCAGAAGAAATAACAAACTTAAGCTAAGCTGGGTTAACACCTAGAATTTTTTTTAAGCGTTACCCCCACACTAGGATATTCTCCTGTATCGTGGAGGCAGTTTACAAACACAAATTGCACAAGGACAAACATCCAGACCCGGAACAGTTATTTGTAGGCCATACAAATACTTGTTCCGTGCGGGATTCGAACCCGCGGCCCCCAGCGCAGCAACTCATTGCGCACACTGCGCCACGGAGCCGTCATACCCATGCTTTTTAGGTAAATTCTGAATAAATTAAGTAAAAGCTGTGGCCCATTGACATATTAATCTTCAAAAGACAATCAAAATGCAGATCCTTCAAGACTAAGGAGGAATGCCTCGTTACCAGTAAAAAGGATCTCCGGTTTCCGTCGATAACCATTGAAAACACAGCTGAACTATTTTGAGATTGGTCAAACCGACTCATTCATGATGCAGTCATTTGCAACGTACATAGAGGTGAGCACCTACTATGTACAAAATATAAAATACGTTTATTGTACCTTTTTAATCTCTATGTATGCGTACGTTGACATGAAGTCCTTGAAGGATTTGTCGCAGATGGAGGCAGAGCCACAAACATACTAGACACTAGAAAAAGCTTTTTATTGCAAATTTGTTCTAATATAATAAATCAACCTGTCTGCGCGCATGGCCAAATAAAATACTCGTATCTATTTCTTTTTCTCTTGTTTTACTTTTCTACCTATGTAAACATTGTTTATTCTTATTTTTTCAACACTGTTCCTCAGACTGGCGACAGGAAGTCGTCGTACATATGTTTTAAATACGAGATGTATACACTGTCATCAATCGGAAACTACAAGGTTTTCCGTAATTATATCATAATTTGAAAAGAGGCGTAATAGTTCAAAACCCTCACCCCAGCACCCGCCTAATTTTTTTTTAGAATACGCGCAAAAGGAGTTGATCTTCTTTAGCAAATTGAAACTTAAGTGTTGATTTACCATTCGCTCGGCTGTATAAAAAATGCATGAGAAAATCTGCATGCTTCAAATTTTTAAAAAGATTTTAAGAACATGCGAAATCTGCAAACACGAATTCTGGCCGGAAGAAGGTTTCCTCCTTGCCTTAAAATCCCTCTTAGTGTAGAAGAATTAATTAAATATATCATCATCATCATCATTACACAAGTCCACTGCTGAACATAGGCCTCCCCCAAGGAATGCCACAAAGCACGGTCCTGAGCCACCTGCATCCATCGACTTCCTGCATGTCTTACCAGGTCGTCACTCCATCTCGTGGGGGTTCGCCCTACACTTCGCCTACCGGTACGAGGCTGCCACTCAAGAACCTTTCTTCCCCATTGGTTGTCGGTTCTTCGAGCTATATGGCCGGCCCACTGCCACTTTAGCTTATTAATCCGTTGGGCTATGTCGGTTACTCTGGTTCTACAGCGGATATCCTCATTTCTAAGTTTATCACGCAGAGAAACCCCGAGCATAGATATAATTAAATATATGATATTTCCAAATAAGAATCACTAAGCATTATTTAGATGCCTATATAATACTTTTCCACTCTTTTTCTTCTCTTCTTTACCAGCCCTTTAAACTCTACCGCTAAACGTGAACCTGTACCGCTGTAGAAAGAATTCGCCTTAATTATATATATGGAGGGTAGAGGTAAGGAGGACTATGTCTGTATATGAAAAAGTGTCCGTCGAAATGCGTTAAGGCTGTGTAAAATCTTAAAAACAGAAAAAGTAAAAGAAATTACTTTTTCTGTTTTACACACTAAAAAATTACTAAACATAAACCTATTTGAAGTTCACAAAAATAAAATCACTCTCCACGTTTTCTCATAGCAGTTATTTTAGGTTATATTTAAAAATTATTCTTGGACTAGGTACGTGAATATTTGAAGTTTTGTATACTGTACTGTAACTAACTACTCTAGCACCAAAAATATTAAATTTTATAATTCGGCACACTTCAATCCATCTACAACTGCTACATTCATGCCATACCCATTCTGGAAGGTCCAGAATGGGTATGGCATGAATTGTTCAGTGTATTGAAGTTCTCTTGTATTGAACAAATATCCAGCTGTAAACAGGAAACTGTTTTTTACTGTTTACAGCTGGACACTTTTTCATCTTGTATCATATGAGATAATCCTCCTTACCTCTATCTATCCCCCAGGAGTTGCTTTGACGCTACTGCTTTTCGGCGGTCTTAGTATTTTACGTAAATGCATCTATCACTAATAAAAACTAGATACACAATCAGTGACAACAAAATGTCCTTATCAAATGAGCGTCCACTCGAACATTTGGGTGCGCTTTTAATTTTTATGCAGCTTTGTGAATACAACTTTAGATAATGCATTTAAGGTTGAATTTACATTAATGTATATTTATTTTAACTATAATTACGTCAAAACAATTGGCGACAGTTTTCATAGAACTTTTGCTTGGGATAATGTATCAAGTTTTTTATTAATGATCGATGCGTAAATGAGGATGTCATACCGCCATAGCCATTAGATTTTTCTTAAATTTACCATAAAGGGTGACCCTTTACGACATTCTAATTATTTATCTAAGCCATGCAAGAATATTTCACATTCTAAGTATACGGGTAAATCGTTAATCTGCGAGGGATTTTTACGAGAGATTGACCGCCACTGCTAGTTATTTATTATCATCTCAACGATTTTATTTAATGTAATAATTTAAAATTTAAAATTTTGTACAACCCAATTCAATATAAATTATTAAGAATAACTAAAAAAGCTATTGGTCGACCGTGATCAAATTTAAATGGGACCACATGTGAAGCACCAGTTTTCAAATAAAAAAAAGAGTCATCGAAATCGGTTCACCCAGTAAAAAGTTATGAGGTAACACGCATAAAAAAACATACAGTCGAATTGAGTACCGTCTCCTTTTTGAAGTCTGTAGAAAACGTACTTATCAATTTATTCTTTAATTAGACAGAGTTAACTGGTAAACAGGTAGCATGTAATGTACATAATAAGCCTCTGTTATTGATCTTTGTTGTTTATAAGTTGTGTGAAATATATTATGTCGGAACCCGTGTGAAGTAGCTCGTTCGGGCGCTATTCCATAATGACGTTGGGATGAAAATAAGAAAAAATCGACCACACACGCGTTTATTTGACTCATACTCTGAAAATTAGTTTTGATACTAGATAGCACGGTTTTCGGTTTCGAGCATCCATAGCCATTTATACTCGTACCAATATTGTAGTAGCCACCTTGCGCAGATCATCGTTTCATCTAGTCGGGGACGCTCTACATTACGTTTGCCTAACTATGGTTAGTAAAAATGTTGATTAGTATATGTTTTAATTTAGTAATTGAAAAAATTGCACCCACTAACCTTTTTTGAATCGACTGTGATGATAAGGAATCAGGCATCACTACAATATGCTTGTAGAAAATTTTGAAATAAACGATTTAATAAGTAATATATAGTAAGCATGCAAGAAACGTTTGTGCACACACTCTTTTTGATTTGTCTATTAATTGAAATATAATGTACGTACATGATATCTTAATTGTATATTCGTATTTAGCACAGTCGTATTTTTTTACGTGGAGCTTAGTTAATTAATTTTCACATCTTTAATGTAATGGATTACTGCAAAGTAAAGCATGATTCTATTGACTATAGTTGTATGCATCTGCCTATGGAGATACTTTAATAATACTAAATAATCGCCTACAATAAATATTTGTACATTACGTTTTTGTCATATTTAGTAATTTGAAAATAACACCGATAACTGTACCTAAATATAATTTAAACTAACAAGTATCTCGATAACACAGTTGCACTAAAATGGTGGCGCTAACCGCTAACCGACCGTGTGTGTCTTGTCGCGTAACAATAATAAAATATCCATTAGCTGTAGTGTTTACTGTGTTTTTAAATAGTTGATTTTTAAAGAATATTTCTATTTTGAAATATTGCTTTTGCTTTATACTTTTTTTAAGATTAAAACACATTCTATTTTCAAAACTACTGCTGCACATTACCATAGTAAAGTACACATAAAAGTATTGACATCGAATGTAAAGAATAGCTTTTTATTACCTAACTGCGATTCAGTTTTTACATGAAAAATGTTGGTATATTTATAATCTTTACACTACCACAGAATAAATAATGGCACTACAATTACAGGCCGTTATTTGAAGTAGTTAATGGCTGTAAACAATGATCATAAATATGGCTATCATTAAGTTCAATGCTTTTATGAATACGAAATGTCACTAAAAATGATAGTTGTGTAAGAAGTGCATCTAAAAGTTGATATTGGTTCCGTATCTTCTTATATTATATGCAAAATAATAACTAAGATATACGTGTTCCAAGCTGGTTTTAAAATCAAACAATTCTTTTTAAATTACATAATTATAAACGAAAGTTTGCTTGTTTTTTTAGCATGCAATTACGTTGCAATAATATAATACTCTACATAACATACCTATATATTTTTGAAAGATTTTTTGATACGATAGTTAAATCTATACATTTGAATAAAATTGAAGTGTCGAAATAGCTGAATTAAATTGAGGAGTTATTTGCATGCCATTTATAAAATTGTTGTCTGTATGTCTGTCTGTCCGGGCTAATCTCCGGAATGGCTAAACCGATTGTAATGAAACTTCAGGAACCGATAGAGAGCAATGCCAGGGGCGATCTAGGCTAAGCGCTAGGCTAGCCTAGGACTTTTAGAAAAACACCGGTTTTTACAAGATATACTAATATATATACATTACACAACATACAATTTTTTGTGTAATTACATAGTAATTATAAGATATCAAATCTTTAAACATTAACTTTCCAAAAGCTCGATTTCCCATCAGCACACAGGCTGTTTCTGACGAAATTAAATTTGCACTTTAACTTGCAGAACCCAAAATTGTTTCCTTTATGCCAAGCCCAGCAATAAAAGAGAGCAAGTGTTTGACAAAGCATTCAATTATTAGGATCGTTTGATAGCGTAAAGTGTTAGCACAAAGTTTTCTATAAAACATTGATTACCTATAAATATTTAATCATGATTTTTTTTGGATCCGCTCTTTTACCTGTGGACATATTGCTACAAACATTGTTAAACCAATATTTCGCATCATCTGACTGTATTGCTTTCATATCTGACGATTCGATTCAATTTAACTACAATAAAACTTTTGTTTATATAAAGCCGGAAGAAGAAAATTTTACTCTTTTATTGTTACAAGTTTCGGAGATGGGGTGTATGGATTACATAGTAAAAGTGAATGAACCGCAAAAGTTCATGATTGCCTTCGAAAAAATTGCTCATTTTACGAATACGAGAAAAAGCGATAGAAAAATTATATTTTTACAGGACTATCATCAAAAGGACGTAAAGAATAATTTATTAGAAGTTTTCAAATTAAAAGAGTCCTCGTTTTTTGCAAATATTCTTATTATCGCGCCTTCCCGTAACGAGACTAGTTCTTGCGAATATTACGATTTAATAACTCATAAGTTTGTGGGTTTATCTAATCATGATCAGCCGCTTTATTTAGATCAATGGAATTCATGCACAAAAAAGTTTTATCATAACGAAAATTTGTTTCCTCATTCTATGACCAACATGTATGGAAAGGTTGTCAAAGTTTCATGTTTTACCTACAAGCCCTACGTTCTTTTAGATTTGAATCCTTTACTTGTGCCGTCGGGTCGAGATGGAATAGAAATCAGAATTGTGGATGAATTTTGCCGGTATGTTAAGTATATTAAAATTAGTATAACGATTACAATAACAATGATGTTTAATTTACCGTCTTGTAGAAATATATGAAGCAAAAATATTTATAACCTGTTTTCAGCATTTGTTGTAAATAAACGCTTAATTTGTTTTATACTATAAAATACTTTTTTTTCTTTTAGTTGGATAAATTGTACTGTCGAAATAGTACGCGATGACAAACATCTATGGGGCGAAATATACTCATACGAGAACCTGACTGGTGTTGGTGTTATTGGAAGTTTGGTGAAAGATCGTGCTGATCTCGGAATTAGTATGTGCTTTTCCAAAGCTGTTTGTAAATAAAATTGTGTAATTTGCGTTTCCTTGCACATTTATTTCACAAAAGCCTGGACATAATCACGGCTCCGTGGCGCGGTGGCTTAGCAATGAGTTGTTGCGCTGGGGCCCGCGGGTTCGAATCCCGCACGGAACAAGTATTTGTAAGGCCTACAAATATTGTTCCGGGTCTGGGTGTTTGTCCTCGTGCAATTTGTTTGTAAATCGCTTCCACGATACTGGAGAAAATCCTAGTGTAGACCTAGGGGTAACGTTTAAAAAAATTACTAGATTGCGCCGCCTAGCATAAATTACGAGCTTGAATATCATTACTGATAATGTCGCTCCCTATCACTAATTTGTGACAATCAATGAAATTTATAGGTAAATATTGAAATATGCTTTAATTCAATAAGTTTTATGGGCGATTTTGACAATCTTTTTATAAAAATTGTTATATTTACTGCCTATTTTTTAAGTAAATCATTAATTTGTTTGTTTGTTGTTCTAGCGGCTCTTTATTCATGGTACGAAGAGTATTTGGCGTTAGATTTGTCAGCACCATTTGTTAGAACAGCCGTAACATGCATCGCGCCTGCACCAAGGTATGTTCTATCGACAGTCCACCTGCCAAGCGTAGCGATTAAGGCAAATTCTCCCTACAATGGGAGAGGCCCATATCCAGCAGTGAACTTTTGGAAGGGCCTATTAAGATGAAAGAAGAAATAATATTATTAAACATAGTAAAATTTAATGATTTCTTATATTCACGCGAACACTACACATTTAAATAAAACTAATTTTTCGGGTTTTATCGCGTATATTAACTTATTTTATATTCCCGTCGTTTCGGGCATTTTTCAGCACCCGTGACCATGGGACTCCTGAGGGTGACAACTGCAAGTTATGACCCTTTTTACTGAAAACGAGATATTCCATCTCAGTCCTCAGGTGTGACAACGCATCTGCATTTTGACAATTGAGGATAAATATAGATGTCTATGGGCCCCAGCATCTTCTTACCATCAGGTGGACTGTGTGCTCGTTTGTTACCCTTATTCTATAAAAATGTGCCAGGAACATCTCATGCACTCCTTTAGAGAGCCTCCACAAAGGCGTTATGTTGAACACGGATAGAAGACGAGGGCCTCTACGTTTCCTCATACACATTCATTCATTATAGCCTACCATAACCATAACCTTTCAAAGTAGAAGATAAGCCTCCCCCAAAGATTGACACATAAGGATTTTTCGATTTTTCCGGACCGATACGACTTAGGGACTTTCAAGAAAAGAGCCTACTCCTTTTTAAAAGGCCGGCAACGCATTCCCCTGGTTCCCCTGGTGTTGATAATTCGCTCAGTTGTTCATGGGCGGCGGTAGTCGATTATGTGACCATGGGTGCTGAAAAGTGCCCGAAACGTCGGGAATATAAAATAAGTTAATATACGAGATAAAATCCGTAAAATTTGTTTTATTTAAATAGTAAAATTTCTTATTGTTAAAGGTTGCTAGCAAGTTGGGAAACGCCATTCTTACCATTCAGTTTCTATATGTGGATTGCGATTATTTTCACATTTATCTATGCCTCAGTTGCACTTATCATAGCGCAAGGATGCTGTGCAAAAAACGTTTTTTTGACTACATTTGGTATGATGATATCGCAGGTAAAATATAAAATCATCACAATTATATTAGGTTTTTATTGAAATACTATTTTGCTAGTTTATTACATATGGAACTTTAATACCTATAATAGATAGTTCCAACTTTAATATAATAGATTTCCGCATAGTAACGCCTGATTCTGTTAATGATCTAATTACATATATCATTATATTATATTACTAGCTGACCAGGCAGACGTTGTTCTGCCCTTTCCGATGACCATTTGCTTTCCTAAGAAAAAACTCCTGAGATTAGCAATAAAAAAATTAAGGGTCACTTATCGGGATAAAAACTATCCTATCTCTCAAGTTGGACCGGAAGTAGATGATACGGATACAACTACAACAAAACTACACCTGAAAATTGGTAATTTGTATTTAGCTCAAATGTTAGCTCTACTCAAAATTCAAACCCAGGGATAGCAGCTTAGTAATCTGGGTATTAAATTGTTAATATATATTGTTCAATGGTTGTTTTTTTGTTTATAATTTAAGATTTCGTGAAGTCTATATGAGACAGTGATGCTTCACTCAATTATTTCTTGGTTGTCATGTTGATGCATTTGTATTTGAATGCAGTTTGCTTAAACAATGCCTGAATGTACTGGTACGCTCACATATCAAATGAAATACAACAGTGAGTGTACAACTGATTAACACTAGAAATAGAAGAGAGAACTTCTAAATACACATCGTATAACGTCCACACATACACACACACACCTATGACGTCCTGTTGAGCTGTAATATCATTAAGATGATAATAATAAATATCCATACTCAATGCACCGTCCCATCACATGCTTACACACTGTATACATGACACTAACCTCATCACTTTACCCGAACGGGTGATTCTCGCGCTCAAAATGGATGTTGGGGCGGTGGCCGTAGCACGAAGGACCCACTCCTCATTAACGCAGTCATTGGCAAGGTAGTTTAACGTAGCCGTCGGAACTTGTTCGCCGCCTGGGTAGACTGTAAAGTGTACATACGAGATGTATGATGTATAAAGAGAGTCCTCGAACTGTACAAGGTAGACTATATAATTAGAGACTTCCTCGGCAGTGGGCAATCCTTTGTCATCTAGGCGAGTGTTAAAGAAATAAACGGTAGAGTAAGAAAAACTATCTTCCAAAGTGATTAAGTCCAATCTGATTCTGCGTCTCTCCAAATCCAGCTTCAGAAAGGAGGTACCAAGTTGTTAAGAAGTTTTCTTTCGACAAGTACTAAGTTATAAGTATATGTCGGAAGCCGTGTTCGTAAATGGGACTAGCAAATCATGACAGACAGAATTATTTTTGCAAATAAGCCTGTTATATGTGTGTCTTGCACATAATATGCTGACTTAAACTTAATTATTTAGCATCAAGTCAAACCTCCGTGGTTTTTAGATGTTAATTAGACTATATTTGTATTCTTTTCTTTAGATCTGATAAATAAATTAAAAAAATATATGAAATATTGTGTAGGTGGGCATCTACATTACCATTCCGAATGACGAAAACCGATTCCAAACTGGAACAGATAAGAAAACAAATTTGTAGATCTGGCTCACGAGGTGAGCGACATGTGATGGTAGGTCGATGGAAATGATACAAAAAGTCGTTTTAAAATTGCAAACTAGGTTCTATTTATATTCTTTTGATTATATTACTTATATTATCTCTTAAGTATAAATTATATATTTAATAATTTACATATGAAGCTCAACGACCTAAGAATACTATAAAAATACACCTAAAATAATAAACATTTATTTATTGTACCAGTCACAGAACGACGCTGGTAAATCATGGAGAATTCGTAGCATCACCGGGTGGATGCTCATAGGTGGCTTAGTTTTAGACAATGCATACGGTGGTGGTTTAGCGTCAACTTTCACGGTACCAAAGTATGAAAAATCAATTGACACAGTTCAGGACATTGTTGATAGAAAAATAGAATGGGGGGCAACTCATGATGCTTGGATATTTTCATTAACTCTTTCCCAAGAGGTACGTATTATGGATTGATGTTCTGAACTAAATTAATTACAACATAAAATCACAAAGTAGCCAACTTTGTGATTTTAAGTTGTAATTAATTGTTGTTGTTCTGTGCTATTCATTACATAATGTAAATATTAATTTCCAACATGAACATTTTTTTAGCCCTTAATGAAGCAGTTGGTCAGCCAATTCAAAACGTATTCATTTGATGAGTTGGAGCGTAAGAGTTTTGATCGAAGCATGGCATATAGTATAGAGAAACTTCCTGCAGGTAAATAGACTCAAAAATGATATTGCGCTTAAGAAAAGCTTATAAAAGCTTTTCTCATGCGCAATATCATTTTTTTTGAGTTGGCGAGGCAGATAATGTTAAATTTAAGTTGTGTTAACAAAAACCAAATCTTGGATGATGTACATATTTAATTAGACACATGGCACTTTGTCAACCAAGTTTCGAAAAAAAATGGCGATGCATAGCCAGTGTGTGTTATGTGAACAATTCCAAGCCTTTTCCGAACCCCCATATCTCAAAAACTGTTATACTTGTAATTTTGAATGTCTAATACGGCCTTGAATACCTATAATAGAAATTATATGTTTATAGTTAATAAGCCTATCTAAAGTTCTTGGATTGAGTGCCATTTTTTTTATTCATTGTAGGCCTGGACCACTTTCAGGTCACAGAAATAACAAAAGAAAAATCATAAAACTATAAATAATCGATATTCGGTGTCGATAGGTTGACTGTACTTCAAACTAACCGAACAATAACTCTGTCAACATTCAATCGATTAATATATAAAGCAGTTAAGGGTAAACAGAAAAAAAAAAACACTGAAAATCATGTATTTGTTTAGATTAATAAAAGGTTTTCTTTTTTAAAAATTAATATTATCTCACCGAAAAACATAAATGTGGAAAGGAAGCAAATCCAGATCCCAACCCGTTCATCGCCGAAGCCGACAACCGCGAACGTCGTTTGTAGAACTTGGCTCCCTTTCCACATCAAAAATGTTAAAATTTTTGATTTCATATCTGAGGGTGAGTTTCGTCCATAGTAAATTACCTTTCTGTTTTTAGCTCTTTACCAAATTTTACAACAAAAATATTTCTTCGTTTGTATTTAGTTTTTGTATATAAAATTTATTGTTATGTATTTAATTTGTTCTATGTACATGTATGTGCTCCAAATAGTATATTGTAAACAATGTTGTGAAAAAAGTATGCACAAACGCAGGTTAACATTTTTTTTACCTCGTATCTTTAAGCCAGTGCTTCATTGAGATTCAAATCACTTTTTGGTAAGTGGTAGATATAGCTCTAGGTTTGTGATAAATTATTTAAATATCACTCTGTTATAGCGTAACAAAAGCGTAAGTATTTATTTATCCTTGACACACAGAAATATGTTGTATGAATTGTTTGTAATCGTAAGGAAAGACAAGGCAAATACAATTTTGCTGAAAACTCTACGGACTTTTCTTCAACAAACTAATAAGATAAGCGAGTAAACTAAAATATTCTATATACTATAAAAATTAATATACAACAGTTTTTAATTAAAATAGGATATAACAAATTTGTTTGTCTGTTCGGTTAACATAGTAGTAAAGTTATTGACATATGTAACCTTAATATTGGCATAAAGAAGAAGAACATTGGCTGAATGGTCTGGTCTTTTCGAGAAATTTTTAATTGGTTCACCAGATCGAAATATGAAAGTCGCAGTCGAAGGTGCATTCTTAGACGCCAAATCAATCCACTGAAATTCCACAAGGATGCGTGTTATCTCCTTTCTACTCTGTTCCTTTTTCATATCATTGAACGATTGCAAGATTTTCAACAGACAGCACTGGTGACACATTGTACATTTTGCCAATATATCTCAGAAAAAACACCAATAAACACTTTTAAACTTGTTTTTAGAGTTAGAGGTTTGAATTGGTGTCAATTAAATCTACTTTTATTCAAACCACAATAGAAAAAATCTTGTGTCGTTAATAAATATAATAAGTAACGGAATCCATTCGCCTCATGGGAGTCGTAAGAACCGAGTATGGAATATTCCTGAAAACCTTATAGCTTCCGGTCTAAAACCGCTAAGGCCCAAGGCAAATTCTCCCTACAACGGAAGATGCCCCGTATTCAGCGCTGATATTTTACTAATTTTACGGGCTCTACCTATGATGATATAATTTATCACATGGTGGATATTGATATGTCGGCAGCTTAGCTTAATTTATCACATGGTGGATATTGATATGTCGGCAGCTTAGCTTAGTCTGACTTTTATAGTTATGCTGGCTTTCACACGTCGTTTTTTTGTTTATATGATGTCTGTGATGTTTTCGTTCACCGGCGATATACAGGTTGGTTTAAAAATCGTGGGCCAAACGAAACAGGGTGGTAGTTGGGATTATTTGCAGTAAAAATATCTCTGTGGCAGAGCTCTCACTTGATCACTTTAAAAGTTGCACAGTGACTTTGGTGTCCTCCATGCCAGTGACCTTCAGAAGAGCGGAAACAGTGCGATGACCGGGTCTGAAGCCGGACTGAAAAGGGCTTAATAAATTGTTCTTATAAACAAATAGAGATAGTTGCCTATGTACACAGGCTTCAAGTACTTTCGATAGGAAAGGAAGAATGGATATAGGTCTGAAGTAATTGGGTAAAGTCGGATTGGAAGTTTTCGCGAAGGAAATAACGTAGGCCATGCGCCACAGTGACTGGAAAACTCCAGTATCTAGGGAAAAGTTTATGATATTCGAAATAACTGGAAGAATATTGTCAAGGATATAAATTATCATACGGCGGCTGATGTTATCGCATTCCACAGCGTTTGACTTAATGGAAAGGATTATCTTTTTAATTTCATCCGAAGTAACTGGAGAAAAATTGAAGGGATCGATGTTTAAACAAGGTAAGCCATTTAATTAATTAACAGTATGATACTTGGTTTGATGTTCCAGGGGAGTATGAGAAACAAAATGACAGTTAATAACATCGAAACCAAGTGTCCTCTGAAATTCAAAACGAGGCTGTTTACCGATTCCGAGAGTCCCAATGAACTTCCAAATATCGGCAGAGGAAGAGGAAATTATGTTATCACGAATATATCGACATTTAGCGTTGCGTATCAGCTTTATAGAAGTTCCATTTTTCATCATTTCGATCATTTCTAAAGCGTTGAAAAGCCCGATCCCTACGCCTCGTGGCTAAATGAACACCTCTCGTCATCCATGGAGCAGGTGGTCGCTTGACCTTCTTCCTCTTGGGTGGAACATGTACATCATACAGCTTAAGAATAGTGTCATTAAACACTGCGATTTTCTCGTCCACAGTGGGGGCGGCCACTACTTTGTACAATTTTAATTTACAAACATTAAATAATTAAACACAACTTTTCTAAATCAATATGACCACTCATGTGCAGGATTTTAGGAAACAATTTAAAAGGTTTTAGGATATAAGAAAGGAAAATGAGATCATGATGGGAAAAGCCAGAAGCAAGGTGTTGACCATGGGTCCTCCCGAGGGAAGGAGTAGATGTAGGGATCAAGTTGAGCCAAGTGTCATTCCCGTCAAAGTTGTGATGAGTGGCTTGTAACGGAAGGATGTGGAGACCAACTGATTCGAAAATATGAAGGAGTTTAGAAGAACGGGGAAAGGTGGGAACCGTGAGGTCAGTATTGAAGTCGCCCATGATGATGTGATGTATGTAATCTGACCCTAAATATTCCAGAGTCGTTTCGAGACTGCTACTCAACTGCTAATCAACAGAAGGGGGACAATTAACAACACCGATAACCAGTTTTGTTTCCTTCACACATATGTCGAGAAAAAGAAACTCTGCAGAGGCGAATTAGTAGGGTGAGGATGAGGAGGAGGCTAGGATTTTATAAGAAAAGTCACAGCAGAGATATATAGCAACAATACCCCCTCTTCTGTCCACCCGAGTAAAGAGTAAAGCCAGAGAGAGGATAAGTGGTCGAAAGAAAATGAGGTTTCAACCAACTCTCAGAAATCAAAACGGCATGAACGTTAGCATTCGGGAAAGCTTCAATTAGGTCGCTATAGTGACTGGACTGGGTACGCTTTGTGCAACGTCGTCTTAGGCCATACCGGGGCCCTTGGGCACACAAGAATTTGGGGCCCTGTTGGAAAGTAAAAAAAGTGAATGACAAAAACATTTTTCTGCTATATGTTCTTATATGTATTATAATTAATTGGTATTAATTACTTAAGTATGTTGGTGTTTTGAATTGGTTAACATTACGACAGTGGTTTCTTTCGGGATTTCTGTTGTGCAAAATCTTCTATTATATCTTCTCTATCTTATCTTCTTATCTCTATCGTCTTATCTTTTGAAGGATATCACTATATATACACATAATTATTGACTAATTTCTTAGTTGTTCTTGTAACGTAGTTGTTCGTAATTCATTTTTTATTCTCTTTAGGTGTGAATATAAGCACTCTCCACTGCAACTGGTAACCATTAAGAAAAATAACAGTTTCTTCTAATTTATAAGCCTTTATTAGTTTATATAACTCAGCCTACACACACAACGCACACTAGCAACAGATTCCTTTGCTATGTTCTTTAAATACTGCCCTAAATAAAAACATTCTGCTTTGAGCTCATATGCATTAATGTCTTCATGATAGAATTCTTCAAATTCATTACATTTTTTGTTAACTCATCATAATTGATTGTTATTAATTGATAAAGAAAACTAAAACGATTGTAAATTTAATGTATCGATTTCAAGGAATAAACGTATGTACAGGAAATTTTTCTTTGCCATTTAACTGTACAGTCTCAGACAATCCTTAGAAAAAGTAACGCGTGTGCTGCGAATTCTTTTTCTTTCAGACTTATCTATATAGTCAGTATTTGGATGTTTTCTTCGATCGATTCGGACTGATTGAAATTATTGCCTTTGTTATTGACATAATCGATCAGAGATGTGTTAAGTTTTGTTGCAACGTCCATAGTGCTATTCTGTAAACTTAAGCTGGTTTTCTTCATTATTCCAAAAAAAATCATTCCATATCTCCGTTAAAAGTATAGTATTCAATTTCTCCATTTTTTTTGCTAGGTTTTGGGCTTCGTTTCTTGTTTCTCTTGGTTGATTGATGTTACTTGCAATTGAGGAAAAAACTGCAGAAAAAAATATCATGGCTTTCAAAAAAGTTTAAAATGATAACTTCTATACATTCTTAAAAATGTTTATCCATAGGCAAAAAATGCAAAAATCTCTCAATAGGCTCTCCGTCTTTTACGTATTCAACGATGAAGGTTAGTTGACAATTGTTTTTAAAACTCGCTGTCCCATTAAATTAATAAACTCATTGCAAATATTTACAGACAAATATGATGTAGGTTCTTCCTTTTCCACGATTTCCGCAGTTTCATATATGATTAGCAAGAATAGGATCAAATTCACTAATCAATTCTAGGCATCCTAAATAATCCCCTTTTTTTTGAAACCCTAATATCTCATTATCACCATGAAAAGCAAGATCTCTAGAAGCTAAAAATATCACTGCTGCAACAATTCTTCTAAATATATTTTTTACTGCAAATAACCTCATGTATCGCATGATTTCGATTGATCCCTATTTTTTACCCAATCTGTATAACTGCAGTTTACGAATTCGGGATTAGTCCCGTATTTGCAAACTCTAACTTCTAAAGGTCCTCTAAAGGTTACTTTCAAATTATGAAATGAATGGCGAGTGCCTAGCCTCAGAGCCTGCTATACACGGATGTGATAAAGTACAATATAAGAAATGGTATTTTTAATACGAAGTGTTTTTACTTTACTTAATGTGTCACATTTAAATATTTTGTGTTTTACATGAAGGTTACTATGCGATTGGCGATTATATAACAGAAAAAGCTGTTTTGGATTTTATGATCATGTTAGAGGACTTCTATTTTGAGCAGTGCGTTATTATGTTACGTAAAAGTTCTGCCTATACGAACAAAATAAATCAGCTGATAGGACGACTTCACGAATCTGGACTTTTGCTTGCATGGGAAAGACAGGTAGGTAAATATAATTTTAATCATAACCATAATATATTATAAATTTTTATACAAATTACTTACCATCATAACCAGATCATCCACAATAACCAGAAGTTATTTTTATTTATTTGTTGAAGCTACATACTGCCTTTGAGCCACAAGTGAGCCTACGTGCCAACACGTTTTTTATGTGTTAGCCATGCCATGCTGCAGCTATATTAGTAGTATAGTTGTAGCACGAATGATTCGGCTCGACCGGGGAAGGACCACGCTCTCACAGAATACAAGCGTAAAATGGCAGTTTGGCACTGCTGTGTTTCGTATAGTGAGTGTAGAGAACCGGAGACCCATTTTACTGGAAAAGAGGCATTCCATCTTAGTCCTCACGGGTGACGACGCATCTGCATTTTTATTCTTTATTGAGGATAAATGTAGATATCTATGGGTCACAGCAACCACTTACCATCAGGTGGACTGTGTGCTCGTTTTTCACCCTATCCTATAAAAAAAAAACACTGCACTCTCGTCGCATAGGATCGGTTGAAAGTCCACGACCTGAATATTAAATCATCATTATCATCAGTGTTAGGCTTTTGATCGGTTTATTTGTCAATTGTATTAGTGACCTTAGTACCAGCTACTACGAGTATGATCACTAACACTAATAGTAGTATTAATCTCTCTACCTAAAATCGAACTAAATGCTACCTAAATACAAAATAATAAGCGACAGATTATATAGAAGAACATTATATATATATATATATATATATATATATATATATATATATATATATTATATATATATATATATATATATATATATTAAACATTACATTATATTGTTAATAATTTAATTAATATTGTAATATGAACATATTTAAATTATAATTTGCATGCTATGCAATATTGTTAGCGAAACACGACTGCGCTTTATAAATTGTATCTAACATTTTTATACTGTGCTAGCTTTTACCCGCGGCTTCGCTGGCGTGAGCTTGAATTTAGGAACATCATTAAAAGCTGTCCCGTGCCAAACTTAGGAAAATTCGATCACATTTAGAGTCATCTCGGTGTCTGTGTCTCTATGTTTGTCAAAGTTTTTTTTTTAATTCCAAAAGACTATTAGACGTAGATGATTGGTACCTAACATCCTCCAGGAACACGTGAATATATATGTCTAGAAACACTACTATTTTTTATATCGGGCGTATCTTCCGGTGTATCCATAAGAAAATAGTAAATAGTCTTGGAATCAAAATTTATTATAATTGTTTACATTTAACTCTTTTAATTTATTCATAATTAAAGTTAATTTAATTTTAACAAAATAATATAACGTTTATTTGAGATATTTTATTGACATCATTGGTCCTATTTAATATTGATTGGCACCATAAAATAGATGTAGAATTTTTTTTTCTTCGAGTAGAGCTCAAAATTTCCTAAAGATATAAAATATATTTCTTATTAAAATATATAAAAATAAATTTCCTAAATATATAGAAATTTTATAAATAAATATATAAAATTTTCTAAATATATATTCTATAATAATTAATACTACACATGGATTAAAACCAATGTCACGGGTTTTTTTACGCATCTTGGATGAAAGTTCCGAGTAAAAGAACATATTGTTGATGTGCAGCACCGACGCTCTGGGAAGTCTAAAGTATATCAACATGTTTAGTATCGTTCCAACCATTATATCGGATCTGATAGACAACAAATCCTAGCAATAGAGTACCAATTCCTACCAATGATGATTCACGATGCTATTGAAATTCAAAATATCCTAATTTTAATATGGGAAATGGCTGAGAGCTACCATCTGCTAAGGACCCCATAATTAATAAAATTAAATTCAAACCCAAGCATACTACTGCATTTATTCTACTCTATTCTATTCTGTTATAATTATGACATCAGGTCGTCAAACACCTCAGTTTTTCCGTGACCATGGGTGATATAAAGTGCCCAAAACATCGGGAATTAAAAATTTAAAATTAAACGCGAAGTCCTTAAAATTATTCCACCTAAAGAGAATCATATCGTAAGAGGCGGCATAAAAAAACAGACAGGAGATGGGCAGCATCATCTTCCTGACAACAGATCAAAATAATAATAGCTGTGGTTGCCAACCCGACTACCGCAACCACAACTATAGCAAATATTCAGGTACTTGACAATTTATGGGGGAGGCCTATGTTCATTTCAGTGGACTTTTGATAGGCTGACTATAATGAGTTCTACTCATTCTTGCAACCCTTAATATTAACGGTAGAGTGAAAACAAAAAGTAACATACCCGAAAATATAAATGTAATAAAAACTGCATATATTGCTCCATAACAAGTAAAAAAGTAGCAGCTTACATACTCTTACTACTGGGCACAGGCCGCAGAGTTTTTGGCCAAAAAAGTGTTCGCTGCACTGATTCCAACGTGGGATGAATGTAATGTAAATGATTCAATTATTTACATCGTGTATTCTGTAGCATTGTATTATTTCATTTTATCAGTGACTTGCCATTTTAGTTTATTTAGAAGTAATTAGATGGTGCTATTATTAGATGAACTAATGAAAGCCAAAACTATACTATCTAGTAATATCGGCGATAGAAGCGAACATTTATTTATTATATCAATAAGGCATAAAGTGATGTCAATTCTGTTAAAAGTTCTGTTTCTGTTAAAGAATACGCTATCAGCGCCGCTAGCGGTGAAAAACGAGTTAATGATATCATCATATTATGACCCTATCATGAAATACCAACGTTATGTTTAGTTATTAATGTCTTCAAACGATTTCTATTCATTGATTTGATCAAGCTATATCATGACATGGTCAACAAAGAGTGTTAAATATCATGAAATGTCCACACCATTTTACGAAATGATAGAATACTTTATGATATAATATGATCAATTCTATGATCTGGCCACGACATACATAAAAATCTCTTTAATAAAACTAAAATGATAATGAAAATTTTGCAACAAATGCAGACACACCAGTTTTAATCACTTTACATATATATTAGTAATTCAAATATAAACCTTATCAATTTTCATATTTTTGATAGGCTCACTATTATCTATTGAAATTATTACACTTTTAAAATAGAATAACAAAAATACTAAAAAACTAAACGTTTGAATTTTTTAATAATTTTAAATATCTAATCATTTAATCATATAAATGTAAGTTATTTATATTATTTAACTTATTGGTAATTGAAGGCAAAATATACTACTTTATCCATTTGATGATAGATGGCGCTGTTTTGATAACTAAATTGGTGTAGTTTAAAATTATTTTACCAAGGTATTTATTTGGAAAACACCCGTCATCCTATATAACTAAGATATAATAGAAAATTAACATCTAAATGAAATAAAATACTTAACCTTCTTTATTTGAAGTTCCGTAATCGGATAAAAAGTAGCTTATAAGTTGCCCGGGGTTACTGACTACATACATACAAAATTTCATGTAAATCGGTTCAGTAGTTTTTGCGTGAATCCGGTATACACAGATAGACAGAAAGACAGACAGACAGACAGACAGACAAAAATACTAAAAACCACTAATTTGGCTTCAGAACTCTTTATTTAGTCCCCTAGACTTGTTTTTTCAAGAATATATTAGGATTACAGACACGACTTTTCTACAGATTTATTATATGTAAAAATTCTTGCAAATGAAGATTTATAATTTTTATTCGTGATAGTAACTGGATGCTATGGCCCATATACATCTATCCTGGATGAGAAAACAAAAAGCAGATGCGTTGTCACCTCTAAAGAAAGACGAGGAAGATGGAATGCCTCGTTTTCATTAAAAAAGGTCTCCGTTTATGTGCACTCATCATACGAAACACAGTAGCTTTAAACTATGGTAGCATTAAGCTGTTATTTTACACTGGTATTTTGTCAGAGCGTGGTCCTTCCTCAGTCGAGCAGATTCATTAATATAGCTGCGCCTTGGCTCTACCACTTATGCCTAATAACAACAAAATAAAAAAAAAAACTGCGATTGCCAGCCCGCCTGCCAAGCGTGGCAACTATAGCCAAATTCCGTCTATGATAGTGATCTATGGGATAGGCCTAAGTTCAGCAGTAGACTTTGATAGGCTGTATTAAATAAATTAATGAATTTATGTGTTTAATATGTTCAACAGGTCGCATTACAACATCTAAATTACAAGATCCAACTAGAAGTAAAGTTGTCTCGATCTAAAAAAGATGTTGACAAAATAGAGCCGCTGGCCGTACGGCATTTTTTAGTAAGCGATTTTGACTTATCTTTTATTTAAATAATTATTAGTATATTATGTTTCTTTATGTGTTTTATATATATACTTTGTTTCAGGGAGTATTCATATTGTTTGGGACAGGGGTTCTTATATCTTTTATGGTTTTAATTTCGGAAATAATCACGCATAAAAAACCAAATCAAAACATCAATCCATTGTAGGAAAAGCAATTTATTCAAAACAATTATAACTATTTATTGAATATCATCATTTACAATTTGTTGTATTTACTTATAGCTTTTATTGCTCACTAATAAATACTTGAATAAGAGAATACATGTTGTGTTTTTTTTTGAATATATTTTCTATCTAAGACGAGCGTAAAACGCATCACCAATGTATGTATAATAGTATACATAGAAAGTAATGTGTGTATAATACGTAGTATACGTACAAAGACGTACGAGTGTATTTTTTGAAGTTATACTTCTTTTGGGGCGTTTGGGAAAAATTATAAGAGTGATTTTTTTACGATGCGCGCGCGCACACCGACAGCTAAAAACGACACCATGAAGTTATTACGATGCGCGCGCACACTTACACCTCAAAGCGACATCTTCATTGGGTAACTGTCTCTCAACTTTTCGTTTGAACTGATAACTTTGCTTAAGGTAGTTATTTTTGTTTTGTGTGGTAAAGAAGTATAACTTCCTACGTGCGTACATAAGTACACACATAGACGTTTTTTTTTAACTCGAGATACCTACAAGATGCAGGAGTGTACAAGCTTGATTGTGAGTGTGGTCTCTCATATATAGGGCAAAAAAACGATCTATAAAAACCCGCATAAAAGAACACATAGCTGACGTGAAGCACCAACGTTCCGGGAAGTCTGCAGTTTGTGATCATATCCTAGACGGCCCCCGCCATTACATTAGATTTGATAAACCACAAATTCTTGCGAAAGAACATCGGTTCCTGCCAAGCTATTGAAATTAGGAAACATCCTAATTTCAATAGAGAGGGAGGCTGGGTTCTACCACCTGCTTGGGATCCTGTAATTCATAAAATTAAAACTAAACCCAAGTATACCACTGCAAGACTTCAAGACACAGTTAGTTCATTCTGCGTAGATCGGACCAAAATTATTTATTAAAAACGCTGAAGGCACTCCGGTTTAACACTGACATCGGGACGTCAATCACCTAAGTCCCCCGTGACCACGGTTGCTGGAAAGCAACCGAAACGTCGGGAATATAAAATAAGTTAATTAAACGCGATAAAATCCGTAAAAATAGTTTTATTCAAAATGAACCACTAACTACATCGCATTCAATCCGCGCGATGGTTGTCGATAGAATACTGACAGGATACTTTGATTCAGTACTTATATTTGCTTTTATTGTTTCCATACCAAAGTCTAAAATTTTACCCAGTGATTCGCTACTGTTAAAGTGCACATCTTCAGAGCAAAAAATATTTGTTTTCAATGTATTATTGTTACAAGTTCTTAATATTATTTTTTAGATGATCACGAATATCTTGAAGCTCGTAAGACCCTTCAGGAATTTCGATCATTTCTTTTTCACCATAATAAAATTTATTGTTTCTTTCGTCTATATTGGGAATAGAATTGAAAGTTGAAAAATACAAAAGGCTACATTCGTAGTCTCCTCGTAGTTCTATTGTCGGTGAATAGTTCGTTGATAAAGAGGCTCCTGTCCCAGTTATAGACACAGTGAAAGATATTTTTATACTGATACGTTTATTTATTTCATACACTATATAAATGCTTTTTCCAGTAATTCCTTAAAAATTTTAGACAAAGATGTCCACAGTATGTAGCACCAAACGCTTGATGTCGCGCATAATTAGTTATGCATATATTTAACTAATTCTAAAGGGGGCTTTAAATTACCAAAACTATCATAATACGTATATATTGTGCTTTACAAAGGCTACCCAATGTGTTACGGCCTACGGCTGCTCCCACAAAGATACAATCCTCCGGGGACCATCAGCGGAGTTTCAACGAACATTCGTAGGTCGGGCCTCAAAATGGCCGCGTGGAATTTCTCTAATTACAATAAACAATAACGGGGAGCGTTCTATCCTACTGCCATTCAACAGGGAGAATTTTAAGCTTACCTACCTATATCCAAGGCGACTGGTCCCTCAGGGTTCGGTCAGGTCGCATGTGGTTGTATGGTGCATGGGAAGTAAGGGTCAGTGATATGTATCGGTGTGTGACTGAGTGTGGTAGACCATATGAGACCGTTGCCGTCGGCAGCAGCTCGGACTTCAGCACCGCTCCAAATCGTGGTAATCTTCCGCGGAGTCGTCCACAGTCACTTTCTTCGTTCGTCACAAGGACAGTCCTTAACTATATCGCGCTGTTGCTGACTCTGTCACTGATGTGGTGCTACAGGGAATGGAACTATTTATTCCATCATCTGTGGTACCCATCGGAGGCAGATCTCAGCCTTGGTTTGGTCGCTCCTGTTAGACTGCTTTACGCAGTAAACAGGAGTGTTATCAAGCCTGGGCTGCGGCTTCGGCGACTCGGGATGTAAACACCAGCATACTTAAAAAGAAGTATAACTTCGCCTCCAGGTCCTTCAAAAGAGTTATTGCCAATGCAAAGTCAGAGCACATAGGCAGAATTGGCGAGAAACTAGTTCGCCTTCCTTCGGGAACCCGTGCATTCTGGTCTCTCGCCAAGGCTGTCCAAGGGAATTTCTGTAAGCCATCACTACCATCTCTGCACAGGGAGGACGATTCACTGGCCCATGACGCAAAAGAGAAGGCCGACCTTTTAGGCTCCCTTTTTGCGTCCAACTCGACTGTTGATGATGGGGGGAACACTCCGCCGACCATCCCGCGGTGTGAGTGCTCCATGCCGGATGTGCGGTTCTCACAGCGCTCGGTTCGCAGAGCACTCCTCTCCCTTGACATCCACAAGTCGAGTGGGCCTGACGGAATCCCCCCAATTGTGCTGAGGACGTGTGCTCCGGAGTTGGCACCGGTTCTAACGCGTCTTTTTCGGTACTCCTACTCCCTAGGCGTAGTCCCGAAATCATGGAAGACAGCTTTTGTCCACCCGATCCCTAAAAAAGGCGACCGCTCAGACCCGTCCAACTACAGGCCTATCGCCATAACCCCCTTGTTCTCCAAAATAATGGAATCCGTTATAAACTGCCACCTCATGCGGTACCTTGAGGATCACCAGCTGATTAGTAACCACCAGTACGGTTTTCGTCGGGGTCGATCAGCTGGTGATCTTCTGGTCTACTTAACTCATAGATGGGCGGAGGCAGTAGAGTCCAAGGGGGAGGCATTGGCCGTTAGTTTGGACATTGCGAAGGCCTTCGATCGGGTTTGGCACAAAGCGCTTCTTTCGAAGCTCCCTTCCTATGGGCTTCCCGAGAAATTATGCAATTGGATCACCAGCTTTCTTGCAGATCGGAGCATCAAGGTCGTTGTAGACGGTGCATGCTCCGACTACAAGCCTATTAACGCTGGTGTTCCACAAGGCTGCGTGCTATCACCAACGCTGTTTCTTCTGCATATAAATGATATGTTGCAAGCCGGTAGCATTCATTGCTATGCGGATGACAGTACTGATGATGCTCTATACACCGGCCGTGCCAATATTTCTCGGGAAAACGTCACCGAGTACCGGAACAAACTTGTGTCTGAAGTCGAGTCTTTGCTGGACAAAGTCTCGGATTGGGGGCGACTAAATCTAGTCCAGTTTAATCCTCAGAAGACACAAGTTTGCGCGTTTACCGCTAAAAAGAACCCCTTTGTCGTATCTCCTCAGTTTCAAGGTACTCCCCTTGTTGCCTCAGCCAGTATCGGAATCCTCGGCGTCGACATATCGAGTAACGTGCAGTTTCGTGGTCACTTGGAGGAGAAGGCCAAATTGGCCTCTAAAAAGCTTGGCGTGCTCAGTAGAGCGGGACAGTATTTTATGCCGGCTCCACGCCTGCAACTTTACAAGGCGCAGGTTCGGCCTCACATGGAATACTGTTCCCATCTCTGGGCTGGGGCTCCCCAGTGCAAGCTCCTTCCACTTGACCGCATCCAGCGCAGAGCGGCTCGAATCGTCGACGACCGAGTCTTTTCCGATCGGCTCGACTCATTGGCACTGCGAAGAGATGTTGCATCTCTTAGCATTTTCTTTCGCATTTACCATGGGGAGTGCTCTGAGGAATTGTTCGGATTAATCCCAGCCGCCAAATTTCACGAACGCACATCGCGGCAGAACTCCCGATACCATCCACACCATCTGGATGAATGGCGGTCCACCACTGTGCGATTTAGAAGATGTTTTCTTCCTCGCACAACTTCCTTGTGGAATAGTTTACCACCAGCGATTTTTCCGGACCGATACGACTTAGGGACCTTCAAGAAAAGAGCCTACTCCTTTTTAAAAGGCCGGCAACGCATCTGCAATTCCCCTGGTGTTGCGGTTGTTCATGGGCGGCGGTAGTCACTTACCATCAGGTGAGCCGCATGCTCGTTTGCCCCCTCTCCTATAAAAAATAAATAAAAAAAAACTAACTTCCAGAATCCACTAACTCTAATTTGTTATAAAGCGTAACACCCAACACAAATACAAAATGTCGGTCTATACGAAATCCCGTTACTATAAGCAAAAACGTAACACACCGCACGAACACGAATGTCCGGATCAAAGTTCACTACCGTTTCGCGTGGCAACATTTTCTAGAATATCAAATGCCGCAGTAGTAGCTAATATTGTGTAACACCCCCATACAGATTCCGAGTTAGACACAAGAAGTCCCGGGAAAAGCTCCCAAACAAGGAATGCGCGATACGAATGCTAGGCAGTATATTTACTAGACGCGCCTAAATTATTCCGCGTTCCCGCACAAAAAAATGACAGCGTGCTGTCCCAAGCACAGCTGGCAACCGACTCCTGCGCTCGCGCGCCCTCGCCACACCGCTCGACCGAACGTCAAAACCGGTATGGCGCCGAGCCGAGCGCCCTCTGGCATCAAATTCCGAAACCAGCGTTCGGGCGTGAACAAACCCCCGTCCCAGACATAAGGATTTAGGTCCGCAAGAAAACCGGTCAGCGCGACATGGTCGCGAAGGCAAGTTGCAAGACCGAACCTACAACCAAACTAGGCCACCTTAGGCACCCCATCAGATCTTGCAATCCTAACCCGCCTCAAAATTACAGCCCCAACGC